GTTTACTGTGAAAGGTTTATAAATCGAAACAATACAACGTCTGTGCCTTTTGGTTATTGAAAGTCTACTAGGCCTGCTGATTTGGTTAGATATGTATCTCGTGGTTCCCGCTCTTATCAAGACATACATAAATACTCAATACCACAAAATTCGTTTATAATTGATAACAAAATGCAGAAGAAAATTCAAGAAAACTTTTTCACAATTCATAGAGAAGCATGGGTCACTATGTCTGACTTAGGTCTTGGAAAACAAAGAAGTCTTTTTCCGATATTGAGGCCTAAATATAAAACATACAAACAAAATATACACTTTCTAGGCTTGATTTTCGTGTAGACAACTATCATATCTACATTTTAACAAAAAAATAAAAAAAATAAAAATAAATTTTTTGAGAAAATCAATTTCAAAAATGGTACTTTTTGGTTTTTGCATAATATTAACGTAAACGTACCGCAAAGGATATTTTATACAGCCAAGGCATTTTATAATAAATATAAAGAGCGTGTTTTGGGCTCTCCGTGGACATAAAAAATATCGGTGTAACCCAAGTAGATCGCCAGTAATTAATTGTCAAAGTTCGTCAACAACTGACCGAGGAGGCGTTTTTGACATTTTTACAGAAAAAAAGCAAAACGCCTAAAATTATTTCATGGTATTGGAGCCTTTTAAATGTGCCCACAGAGTGCTTGAAAAAAGGTAATATAATGTGGACTGAAAATCCATGGCGGGAGATCAAGCGAAACATCCGACCCACGACGGGTGTGAAAAACACTGCTTTTCGCCGCGGCCTCTTTAAAAATTCATAAGTCGAGAACAAAAAATCCGACGAACTTGCGGTTTGTGGCGACTGTGGTTTTAGAAACGGCGCCATAACATATATTTTTTTCATCGAAATTAAAAGTTCGACCCTTTTTGCCTGCACGCTTTGAGATGAAACCACCCATATATATATATATATATATACCGGGTGTTTTTGCGAAGACTTTCAAAAATCCTAAAAGTTAGGGCGATTGAAAAAAAAAGAAACTCTCTTCGGGAACAAACTACCAGCCACGGCGGACGTCAGGAATTGCCAAAAACCTACTAATTAGCCAGATAATTAATTAAAACTTGTTAATTAACTTTTTAATTAGGGGAAATAGACATATGGTTCAAATTAGAAAGTTGCTGAGCGCTATCGAAAACCACTAAATCAGTCATTTTCAGAAAGACTTTGAGGACGTGAGACGAGTAGTAGCGCACTGAAGTTGCCACTCGTGGAGCAGGTACAAGGCTAGCGTTTGCGGTAAGGCGCCCGCGCGATTTTTCCGCGTCTTATCTAGCCCCAGCATTGTACCTGCTCCACGAGTGGTAATTTTAGTGCGCTCCTACTCTTCTCAAGGGCTTAAAGTCTTTCTGAAAATGACTGATTTAGTGGTTTTCGATAATGTTCAGCAACTTTCTAATTGGAATTATATGTCTATTTCCACTAATTAAAAAGTTAATTAACAAGTTTTAATTAATTATCTGGCTAATTAGTAGGTTTTTGGCAATTCCTGCCGTCCGCCGTGGCTGGTAGTTTGTTCCCGAAGAGAGTTTCTTCTTTTTTCAATCGCCCTAATTTTTATGATTTTTGAAGGTCTTCGCAAAAACACCCGGTATATACACAGTGATGAAGTGCAGAGAAATGAAGGCTGCAGTATGGATTAGCCTGTGACACCTATGGAGGGCAGCTTCAACATGCTACAGTCTCACGGGTGGTGGGAGGGGAGAAGAGGGGGGGGGGGGGGGGTGCGGTCGGAACAGCTTTGAGTGTGGAGGCATGTCACCACTCAGGGGTGGAACTCATGAAATGTACTTGGGAGCAGCCACGGGAGCAGCTGAAACAGTTGTTTTGGAGCAGCTTGGGAGCAGCTAAAACTACATTCTGGAGCAGGCTAGGAGCAGCTCAAATCAGTTTTTATTGCAGCCTTCAGGTTCTGTCTTAGACAATCACAGGAGCAATTTCAATTATGCTTTGCAGCGCAGATTAACATGAGTGGTTAGGGATCTAGGTGGAAGGCATAACAGTGTAAAAAATTCGAAAACTTAAAAACTTTGTGAGTCTTAATGAGAACCAAAAAGCAAGTACCATGTTTCTGAAGATATATATATAGTGTCCTTAGTATTTTCTGAGTGGCTTTCAGCTGCTCAAAATGCAAACCAGCACTGCCTATCGCACAACCCACACGTGTTCGACATAGTAATTCTATATGTGTGAACCATGTGACGTGTTTAAGCAACGGACGTGTAGTTGCGCGGAGGAACAGTGCAACGAATTTCAAGTTTATCCTATTGTGCAACTCAATATCCAGACGGCAGACTACGATTAACGGAGTTATCGTATTTGAGGCGATAAGCAGGAGCAAGGTTAAAGTACGCCGAGCAGATCTATCGCTCGCGTGAGAGCTGCTGGTCGACAAGGTTTCGGATCGGACCGCGTTTCAGTTCTAGAAAATCACGATTTATCTTGCGGGAATGTGGTTCTAACTTCTAACGATGAAGTACTAAACGCATATTTTGCTCATTTGTTTTCAACTGGCTGACGTGCGGATCCCGGGCCTCAGACAATCTGACGCTTTACTACTCGACCCCGCTTATGGTTGAAGAATAACGATCCACTCGAAGGTGGTGTAGCGCTTAAAATGCAACCCCAAAGTTTCTTTTTTGTGTGTGTGTGTGTGTGCGCGCTTCCGATTCGGGATACACAGGGAGAATAAACAGAACAAAGGATTGCAAGGCCGACCAAGCTAAACGCGCTCATTGTTGCCAATCGAGTCGATAGAAACCGAAACCAAGACAAAATACAATTTTTTTTTTGCGCACGTTTTGAGATTTGGAGCATAATGGCGCGAGGTACTGGCTTTGGCGCAGTTTCCGCAACATGGCGCAGGATGGCGCAGACAAATGCCTCTGGCGCAAAATGGCGCAAATGGCGCAGCCGTTCCACCCCTGCCACTGCCCCCTTCGGTTCCGGAGCCCCTGCCTGCGCGTCTGCTATTCTAGCCATCTCCTCGATTCCCGCTCCTGGGCGCAATGCCCGATGGGACTGCACCCCGGCGATTTTTTTTGGGTACGTTGGGGCAACGAAAAGCCGCACCATGAGGGTGCACTCGATCATCCGCACTGGGGAGCACCGGTGCGGATGATCGAGGATGCTATACGGCGCGCAAGTTCCCCTGCTCCTCACGCATTTCGTGCGTTTGTTTACCCCCCAAATGAAGTCACGCGCGTCTGTTTACCCCCGACCTTTACCAATGACGGCGTGCCCTTGCAATACCACCTAGAACACAAGGCCTGCGCGTTTCCTCCTCTAAACGTCATCACTGGATGGATGGATGGATGAATACGGCTGAGCCCTTTGGATCGGGCGGTAGCTTACGCCACCTAGCCATTTTGTTTTACCATTTAAGCTTAGAATATTTAAATGTGAAATCTATATTCACTCCGCAGTGCAATGTAGTAGATCCCCTCAGCGCCCCCTAGCTAGCCCGGATGAGCAACATTGTCTGCTACATCGTCTGCTTCAGTGGTTTGTATAACAGATAATGAAACAGATGCTCACGCCGAGTGTCTCTTGCAGATAGGATACGATGAAGTTAGACGTTCACATGGAGCGTCAAATGCATGAGCGAGATTGCCTTACTGCTGCACGAACGGCTGAGAAGCCCTTCGTTGGACGCTGACACCGGACGCCATTTTCCAGGGCGCTGTTTATAGACGCTTTACACACGCGCCAAATTACAGCCGCCATTGCTGACCTTCTCTTGTCTTGCCGAGATGCCGAGCAACTGAAACAGTAGTTGACGATCCTCTACAAAGGCCGATGCTTTAGAGAAGGACACAGTTGAATCTAATGCGGCAATAACCTGGCCTGCTATGGTAATGATGAAGTGAAATAAACGGAATAAGAGGAAACAAAAACTGAAGGTCAGTTATGGCGGCGTCCATGCACAGCTGCTGCAAAGCGTCTATACCTCGGGTAGCTGCTTCGAAGCGTTCTACCGCAGAACGAGCGCGCGCGCTAGAAATGCGCGTCTCAAAGCCAGGAGCGCGTGCTAACTCGCGCTCCAGGCCGAGGGAGCGTTCGCGTGCACGTCGCAAATGCACTGGAAGCTCGCTATCAGCTCGCGCTCAGCAGTCACGCACACAGCTGCAGCTGCGGCCGCAAGTGAATGCGACGTAGTTGCGACGCGGCCCCTACTCTCGTCAAGCTTCGGGGTGTTTGCCGCTTTGGGGCGGGTGGGGGATCTACTAACGAAACGTCATGCGCAGGCCTTGTCTTCTAGATGGTATTGGCCCTTGGCTGCCTCGTCATCGTGCGTTTCCTGCAGGTTCTCTAGGTTGCCCTATGATTGGCGTGCTCCTCGCGCTCTTGTTCGCTTGTTCGCCGTGTAAGTTTTCTGGAACAACGCGTGGCGTTTGCTGTGCGCACGGCGTCAGAAAAGCGGCTGTCTTCGCCGTGCGCAAAGCGAAGGCGCCACCGCGCGAAGTTCACGTTGCGCGGGGTGGATCACCGAAGAACACTTCTGGAATTGCAGCAAATGTATCGTCGAAGCGCAAGCAGGAGAACACTCCAAGTGATGTCGTGGCTATAGCACCATACTACTCTCAAAGGGCGTAACAAAAGGGAGTACAAAAGGCGTACAAAATGGCGTCCGTCAATGACGCCCGTAGCACCAGCGCGGCAAGCGGGTGCAGATTCGCTGTTTCGGTCGACGCGATCACTCCTTCGAAGCAGACGCAGTAAACGGGCAATCGAGCACAACCGTCCAACAAGTAAACAGAGAATCTCTAATATTACGAGAATCTAAAGTGCGGCAGGTTGAGCACGACCACACCGCAACACTAGACGTCCTAGGAGATTCATTACTACCCGCTACGGCGACAAATAGAAGACGATTTTGTGCAAAGATGCAGACTTTGCACACAGTAATACTTTGCGAGCGTAAAGGTGCAGGAACGGAAGAAACACTCACCTTTGCGTCCAAACGCGGGATCAGACGCACGTTTTCCGTGGCGCCGCGTGAAACGGACTAACAATGCACCACATTGTCAGTCGAAATCAGACATACAGCGCCGCTCCGTGTGTGTTGTCGGTAGCTAAAAGCGGATGTAAGCTGTAGGCACTGATCTGTTGCTGAACGTTCTCGATAGATGGCGCCACATGTAATTTCAGCATTTTTAACGCAGATAAGCAGTATTTGTATGAGATTTTTAATTTTAGCGCTCGAGCTGTGTGGAAATTAACCTTTTAGATATGATGAAAGCTCGCAGTGTCAACACGCGCTCAACCGTTTGGTCGTGGGGACCGTGGCAACCGTGGGTGTAAGGTTCTACCAACTCTACCACTACCGCGGAAAAACTCGCAACTTTTAATTTCAATATATTTAGGAAAATTATGAATGCCCATAGATACGAAAATCTTCAGACGCGTGGTAAAAGCGGCGTTACAGCCGTCATGTTATTCTGCAATGAAGACGCCGCCAATGCGCGAGCGCGCCGCTGGCCTTCCGGCGCCCGGAGGTCCTAGCAACCGGACAGCATTGCGGGGCAACGAAAATTATTTACGAAAACCTCCTACTTCGTCTTGATGACAAAGTGGTACAACTCCTACTAAACCCCATCTCGAAATAGCGCCGTACCGCGCCGCAAGCACTGCGAACGTCACAGACGCACGTGGGCAGCTCTAGCACGGCTTGCTACGCGGTCGGTCGTGCAGGGCAAGCCGCCTCAGAAGGCCTCGCGCCCGTTCCCCCGCCTCCCTATGCTAGATACAACCTACGAAATGGATTGTAGAATTCCTACCTCCACAGGAATACCTACAACTGAACAGCACAGGCAACATACAGCACCACTTCTAGTTAACAGGTTCCCGAGGAAGAGACTGCCCGCTACTGCATCATTGTAGACTGCAAACAGCAGTGGCGAAGCAACGAGGGGAGGGGAGGGGAGGAGAGGAGGAGGAGGAGGGGGGGGGGGGGGGGGGGGTCCTAAGCCCCGAGTACCAGGAATCCCAGTTGCATAGGGGGGTGCCACTTTACTGGTTGGCTGCGATTTCGGGAAGTGAAGGGGGGAGGGGCTACGAAAGACATAAGGGCCTCGGGTGCCAGATGGCCTAGCTACACCACTGGCCACTAGCACAGCAGCTTCCAGAACTCTACTTTTGTCAGTGACCGAAGACTGGCAAGGGAGTCCTTTCAGTTGATCCACTCCTAGCACGACAAGCTTCCTACCTTCAATTATGCTTCTAGAAGCACGGTGGAAAGCAAGCAGCGCATCCTGGAGGCCCGAACACCCGAAAAAGATGACCCACTGTTTTCATCCTGTTCAACAAACCTTGCCCAAAAGCAAGCAAAACATGAAATGACACCACCACACAGCGGAATCGTATCCAACAAGTCGTTATTTATTACTTAAATACGTACGTGTAATTACCTAGAAACTTTTTTTCTTTCTCACTCCAACTCGACGCCAACTCGCACCATCGTGTCCAGTAAGTGGTCGTAGCAGCCGCACCACAAAAGGCGTCGCGGAGATGAGAACACGCACCACAAACAGTTCCCTTCTCTCTCATCAACCTCGGGGCACGCACGCACTCAGACAAATCTCTCAACCTCTCGCACTCACTCACTCGACACACAACGGGTGACTACTGCAAAATGAAGACCAGCTCGAACACCTGCACGGAAGACTATTTGTTTCCTTTCTCCTGCGGAACACGACGTCCGAAAAAGGCCTAGTCATCGTCTCCTCCTCTTTTCTTCCCCCTCCCCCACCACAAAAGCCGTCGGAAGAACCCCTACGTCCGGCAGTAGACACGAATTCGAGTTGCGACGACTCCACAAGTCTTGCGGTCGTCTGCCGACGACCGCCGGGAATGTGACCTTGAGGAGCCGCTGAATTCGTGCCAGTTCCGGAAGTCCTCCGCAACGACACGGCAAAAGTTTGCGTACGGCGAAGACATGCACGAGAAAAATACCGACCACATGGTTTCGATCGGTTGCCTCTGTCCTTAGTTCTGTTCGTTTTCTCCGTTCTACACGCTTCTTTTTCAAACCCTAGCTAGCACATCTTCGTCCATTGCGCTCAAGAAACCGCGGCGACAGATCGGTTACGTATTGCGTGTCGGCAAACGTTCCAAGACTGTTTACGCAGCTCTTTTACGGTGGCCTTTTAGCAAACCTTTCGTCGCCTATCCTGGTGTTGCTCCGATCGCTCGGCTCAATCCCCGTTCAAGCGAAACCAACAAGCTTTAAAGCATAAGCGAGAACTACGAGCCTCTAAAACAAAAAGAAACACCAATATACCTCGTCGTGCAGACGTGTGAAGTAGCAAAACGGAAACCGTGTGGCGGTGTTATAGCATCCATGCTTCAGAGGCAGAGAAGGAGGCACTTGTTCTTGCGGGGCCGACTTGGACAGCTCGTTAAAACTAAAGTAACCAAACGGTCGCCATGTGCATGGACGTGAAACACCAAGTCCCGGCTGACCGTTGCACGCCGTCGATGTGCCGAGAGCATTTAGGCCAACCCTTGTACGAGGTACAACTGCCCAGTTTTCCAAATCCAATGTCCTTCAAGGGAAACTGCGGTGTTTAGACCCTGGCACTTGTCTTGAGCCCAGATCAATTTACGCGCGTTTGTGACACTTTGCATGGACACTAATCGGGAAAAGGGACCGGATGTGCACAGTATTTACTTGCGACTGGACGCGCCTTGAACCGAATTACGATTGTTCCAGACGTGCAACGGCCAGAGACCGCTACAGCCCACCCCTTGCAATTCTTCTCGCCGAGAAGATTCTGTGCTTGAAAGGAAAGAGCGAGAGAGTCGGACAGTCGGCCTCGGCGCCGGAAAAGAGTGCCATACTCTAGCGATTTGGGGACTAAACTCCCACACGCCTGCCGTAGATGAAGCCTGGGCTGCCCGCTAACCGATGCTTGGTCCTAAAGGGCCGCGAGTAAAGGTCGACGCGACAAAAATTGGTACTAATACGTCACATTCTCTCTTCCACCACGCGCGCCTGTGTATAAGTGTGACTACAGTTTGCCCGCTGTTCGACTAAGATCGACCTGAAGCAGACTTTGGCGTACAAGTTCGCACTACCGGCATGCGAAGTTTGCGGACGTGGCTGGACCCGGTAGACATACAAGAGGGGGAGAGGGGCCGTAATATTATTAATAGTAACAATTAAAAAAAAGAAACGTGCGCGGAGCAGTTTTTAGTGCCCCGATGGTCCGACGACGCGTTGGAACGGGAGTCGTCGGTCCTCGCCGGCAGACTCCTTGCGGAGACGACGCGGGTATGCGGCAGATCTGAGGAGGGCTGGTCCGGCCCGCGTGGCATGAAAAAGGCGGGTCGGTCGTACTTTGGGGGCGGGGCTGAAATCCTGCGGTGTCCTCTGCTTGCTTCCCAGTGTTCCCTCACATCATCGCATCTTGGACGAGTCTTCCCCCCCGACGTGGAAGTCCGCTCGACCGCGCCATCGGCATACGCAGTTGTTCCTGCGTTGTTCCGCTTGCAGACGAGAACTTCCGTCGAGACGCGTCGAGGAAGTTCAGACCGGCGAAGGAGAACTGAGAGGCGACGACTGGCAACACCACCGTGGACGAGAACTGGGAACTGAGGGCCGACGGGCACGCTACTGGTGTCTGTGTGCTCCACGTCCCGTCGATCCAAAGTGGAGGTGCGGCCCGGAGGGAGACGCATACCCGCTCGGCGACGGGTATCCCACCGGAGCGGGGTAGCCCCCAGGAGGCGGGCTGATGGGCGGGAACACGGCCGAGGGCGGAGTCAAAGGCGGGAACATGACGGGGGACGGGGCCAGAGGTGGGAACACCGTGGGGGGAGGAGTCAGGGGGCCGGCGGGGGAAGTGGCACCCTCCCTCAGCGAACGCTGCTGCATCAGCTGGTGCAGGGTGGGCTTCCCCTCTGGGCTCGCCGGTCCGGGGCAGGTACGCGCCGCACCGTTGAGTTGCACCAGTCGTAGAAGGTCGTCGGTGAGCGTTCGGGTTCGGTAAACCGGCCTTCCGACCGCACCCGGATCAGGGCCCTCCGAGGTCGAGCGGTGGAGGTTGATCCGCAGGGGTTCTGTCGGGGGCGGGGCGTGCCACTCCGGGGGTGGGGTTCGGGGGAAGTGGGGCACTGACTGGGAGTGGGGCACCGCCCGCTGGGGCGGCGACCCGCCGTTGGCCGTCGTCTCGCACAGTGCCCATGCCGGCGATCCCCCGGCGTTCCGTAGCCGCTGGCGGACCAGCTCAAGCTCTCGTCGATGCCGGTTCTCCAGTTCTTCGCGCTCCCGCTGTTGCCTGTGCAGCACAGAGATGGCGGGCACGTGAGCACAAAGAAAAGCCGAGCCGTCGTTTGAAGCAAGCTGCGGCGGAAGACCAAATTAATCGAAAGGAATGTACAGGTTGTCATCCCGGTATCTAACGGGACGTTTAAGAAACAGTGGAATCACCGAGCGACCATCATATTATCAGCATAAGTAATTTGTAGTCCGAATAGGTGTCCGATGTTTAAAAAATTTAGCCATAGCAAAGAGTCTTTAATGTGCATCATGCAGCAGCGATACATGGACGCATGCCAGTACGATGGACGCCCCTCCGGTGGGCCTAATCTACACGACCGGACCAAGTGCGACAGCACCGCCTGCTGCGATTGGCCAGTGCTGCTGAGCTGACTGACTGCAGCAGGCAGTAATGTCCCACTAGGTACCGCCGCGTAAATTAGGGCCCCAGATTGATATGGGCAGGGGTGGGGATCAAACCCAAAATTCCTGGGCTCTGCAGCACGAGCTTTTGTGCCACAGATTTTGAGTTCCGGTGTGCTAAGACTGCCTAAACAGCTTCCTCTCGGATATCTCAGACTGGGTTTGCCTCGAAACTCTTGGATGTCCTCCATCGCTTTTGAAAGAGAAAGGACCTTACCGTGCTAGTAGCTGCTTGAGAAATTCCTCCGCATCTTCAGACTCCTCCACCTCCAGCTCTTGCCTCTGCTCCGTCGTCAGGGCCGACTACAAAGCAACCAAAAACAATACACCATTAGAAACTAAACGTTTTGGGAGGCACTCCCGTCCTTTCCCCAGCACCAGATTCCGTGTGCCAAAGCCGCTTCCATCACCGCAGAGGCACCGCAGAGACAGAGGAGAAGCCGAGAAACCACGCCCCGCAGACGGATAAGCAGAGCCGGCTGAAGCCGACCGAAGACCGGTGCAGCGAGACGAAAGATAGCCGACAAAGCGAAAGAGAGAGTGGGCCTACTGGGCAGGTGAGACGGAACAAAGCCTGCGCGCGTCGGTTAGCCAAGCCAAAGCTTCCTCGGCCGACGATGCCGCGTCCTCGCCGGCGAGTCCCCGATCCACCGGCCCTTACCAAGAACTGCGAGAGCGACAGGCTCCGTCCCCAGTCCACCAGGTTCGAACTACCGGGCCGCGGGTGGCCGCGGCGCGTCGGCGGCGACCCGCATGGCGACAGGCACGGCGGCGACGGACTCGCACAGCGCTCGCATCCGGCACTGGTCTCTTCGCGCCAGTGGCTCAGTGAGGGGCTCAGCGAGGGGCTCAGCGAGGACAGGCTGCGCGCCTTGCTCAGCGTCGGCGGCTCCAGCGACGCCAGGAACCTCCGCGACGGCGTGGAGGGCGGCAGCGTCGTTGTGCTCACGCAGGCGTTGCGCGTCGACGCCCGCTCCGTCTGCGCCTCTGCGTCCCGCACGTGGACCCGGACGCGCAGCGGCTCTGAGTCAAGCGACGTCTGCGAGAGCGACGAGAGGTCGTCCGACGAGGCGCGCAGGTAGCCCCGCATGATCTTGGCAAGCGCCAGCTCCAGCGAGGACGGCTCGGTGCGCTGCTTGCGGGGGTCCGCGTAGGGGAAGGTGGCGTACGGGTCTGCCGCGTCATCTTGGTGAGATGCAGCCGCCGCCGCGGCTCCGCAGTATGGGGTGGCCTCGCCGCCGCCGGAGTGGAGCGTGGCGGAGCGGCCTCGCATCATCGAGTGGGGAGGCGGCTCGCGGACGTTTTGGGAGGTGGCGCCAGGAGGGAACGGAGGAGGGGCCAGCTGCTCTTGCTGCTGGCGAGTGGTTTGGAAGGCGGCACAACATGCGGACACTCAGCGCGTGTTGCGACGGACTCCCGTTCGATTTGTCGAACGCGGGTGCGCTCTTTTTACGCGTGGAGCAGCTTCGGGAGGGGCCGGGGTAAAAGTCGAGGCGCTAGAGTGTGCAACAATGACCCAAGAAACGACGAGGGGGGTGCGACACTTCCACCAAACAAGGAAACCAGAAAGGGTGCAGACCCAGAGACGTATCGCTTTTTCTGCGTGCCCACTTTCCTCTCTCAAGGTGTGAAGATTCTTCGTTATACCTTCAAAGTTCATGCAATTCTCTTCCCCCTGATATCTATTCAACTTATTACGCTTCAAAGAGCGCATGAGGAACATTGTCTACTACGAAAAGACACCAGCAATCTGCTTGCACATACAAACATGGCAGTCTACCTACGTTACTGAACCAAAAAGAAGGCCCATCAACTCCTAAATTATAGCTGGTCGTACAGAATAAACCCGCCAAAAAACGCGCTGCAAATGCCACATGGACAAGTCGTGTTTCTCGGTTGCCGCACAAGCACAGTGGCTTTAACTTCCTTCTGGGAGAAAGAAAAAAAAAAGAAAAAAAACGTCCTGTACGAGCAGTGTTATCAGCTCCTGCGGGAAATGCGCTCATTTGCAAACTATTCATTGGCTTATACGATAATCAGGGTATCATCTATAATTATCACATTCCTAAATTTTGACCAGCTGGTTCACCGAAAATCGAAAATAAATTTGTAAGCAAATAAATCTAAAAAAAAAAAAAAATGGCACTAATCCAGTGGGGCGCGCCAAACACTCACAGTCTCCAGCGCATCCCACTGGGGACTGAGAGTTTTCAGCCCCAAGAAAATGGCAAAATTTGCGATTGGAAGTTTCATCGGTTCTCAAACGATTACCGACCCACAATTCATAGACGTGAGAAGTTGCATTTCGGTCAACAAAGGCGGGCTATACAGTCGCCGACCAATTTTTCGGACTTCGCAGGGACAGAAAAAATGTCAGAATAATTGAGCAGTCCAAGAAAAAAAAACTAGAAGATGAAAAAAGTTGCCTCTATAAACATCTAAACGGGCTTAAAAAAGCCGTGAATAGCGCCTTGATCAGGTTACGCCTCCGCTTGCGTTCGGCCACTTACTATTAGCTTGAGAATCGTTGCCTTCTTTCCTAGCATTATGGTCGAGCATTTTCCGCGCTTCTTAACGAACACTTCGCTGCGGCGGAAGAACAGATGGGGCCACGACGTCCAAGCTAGAGTAGTTCGAAAACACGATACGCCGAGGCGAGACGAGAGGCGCAGTCCAAGACTGCAGGATGGCGAATAAACAAAGCAAAATGGTAACAATGATGATTATAATGACACGCGGCTAGAGAGAAAAAAAACCTGTAGCACAGCATCACCTAGCGGTAGGACCTGGCAGTACTTGAGTAGCGCTGCCAAACCAAGCCAATCCATGTTCAGTCAACATAGAATTTGAAATGGCAGCTTCTCGGTGGTGTTTCCCGGTGATTGTTCGCAATGATTTTGTACAAAAAATCAAACTTTCGAACTTCAAGGTGCTTGAAACATTGGTCGTGAATATGCAGCATTTCTATCGGGTAGGTCACGGTTCCTCCTTTAGGTTCGAAATACCAAACAAGAGCGAATTATCGGCGTCCGAAAAATCTGTCAGTGACTGTATAGCCACAGTGATTTTCCCCTCATCTTTTGCTGAAATTTCCCATTTCAGGCCAATTCTCACAATGTCCTCCCTGCGGCCAGACGGGCTTGCCCGTGTGGCAGCAGCATGCTCACGAGCGCGATCGTTCGTACACATTTATACGCATTCTTTTTTTCTATCAACTTTAGTTGCAAGTGTGTGCCTCGTCTTGTTCAACCCGTCTACGGTCCCTGTCCTTTTTGGTGCCTTTTCCAATCAGCGATACGAGCCGATTGGCCCAATCACCCACTCCGCTCCCTTTCCTGCTGTACGCACGAAACACACAAAGCAGACGCCCACAAGTTGGTCGGCCGCGCGGCGCATGCCAGCTACCCCACACCTTCAAAATCCCCGAAACCAAAAACAGCCGGCCAGCGCACCCACCCGACACCAAAACCAGGGACGCCACGGACGAACGGCTCACCTTGAGTTCGAGGTCCTCTGCCACCGAAGGCATGGGCGTCACTGCCGAGATGGGCGGCTTCGCCGCCAGCTCGTCCACCACAGTCGTCACCTTGAACCTTCCGCAGTTCACCGGTGGCGATGCCTTCACCTCTGTGCTGCTCGTCTGGGTGGCCGTGCTCACCACGCAGCCACCGCCGCCACCGCGGGACACCTCCGCATTCGAGCCCCGGCCCGCGTCGGGCGACAGCGGGATCGGAGAGGTGGCCGTGGTGGCCAGGGTGGGCGGGGCCGGAGGGGCCGGGGCATCGGGGGGAGGGGTGGGCGGGACCACCGTGTTAGAGGAAGAGGTGGGCGTCGACTGGGTGGTGGTCGAGGAGGACGACGAGGGAGAGGAGGGGTTGCTTAGCAGGGGGTCGTCGCGGACAGGGGTCACGTGGAAGCGGGAGAAGCGGTTCCCGCCCTGGGGGGCAGCTGCGAATAAACAAAGTTCCCACGTCGCTACCACACCTCTCTTTTACTGGGTGTGCCGCTCAATCATATTTTTATGGCCATATACGCCACTTTTTCGCCTTAAAACAGAAGTGTCTCGTGTCCACGCCACCCAGGCGCTCGCACATTCCGCTTGAAGCGCCTGCTCCAACTTCAATGGACACTGGCTCGAAGACCACACCAGAGACGTCTCAGCTTCAATGCGTTCATAAAACTGTTCCTGCCGTTGTTGAGGCACGAAACTAGGTTCAATGGCAAAGCTGTGTCTAAGTGCAAAGTTCTACAAAAAAAAAAAATGGCACACCCAAAAAACAACTTTGAAGATAAGTGCGTCTTTCCTAGAGAAGCACGAGAAACCGGGCCCACAATGAGCAATTGCTAGCCAATCATCGAAAAGTCGTCTGGTGGTGCCACTTGCAACCAAGGCGAGGAGAGGACTCTATCTGGCAGCCACAATGTGCACGGTGTCCACGCCTAAATATATATGTACCATATTTGCACGAATATAACGAGTTTTTTTTTTTCGGAATTACAATCTCCAAAACGCACCCCGCGTTATATTCGGAATCAAATTCAGCCACAAGGCGCGCAAGTCTGGAGAAAGCCATCTCTCCGGCTCAATACAGGAGATCCGGCGGGAAAAGAAGTGGGGGTGTGGAAGGGAATTTATTAGCTATTGGGCCACGTGAAGGGGCGAATAGAAAACATAAAAAAGCATTTTTATAGCTTTTGGGTTTGTACAACCTGCGCAGGCGACAGAAACTCTGTGCAGCGCGCCGCGCCATGCGGGAATGTGGGCAGTGGGTAATTTGAGCCAAGCCAGGCCAAGTCAAGTCAACACAAGCCAAGCCAAGACGACCCAATGCTTTTACGCAATGGTGCAAGACGAGGTGTTTGTTTATGCAGAGGGACCAGAACAAGAAGTGTGATCGTGTATCAAATTCAGCAGTATTTTTTCCGCCTGTGCATTTTTTAGTTTCTGCTCCAGAGTGGTCTGGTGTTTGTCTGTTGATGCTTCTGCTTCATGCCTTGCTTGGATTGTGGGCTGCCGAGGAGCTCACGCCAGCTTCTCGCCAAAGAAAAAGGAACTACCAGACAAGCGGTGCCGTGCTGCTGCTTAACAGTGTAGTCACTAGTCACGTAGTTGTAGTCGCCAAGTGGATTGTAAACGGAAGGGCCTGAGCAGTCAGGATGAGTGCAGTCAAAACATAAACTGATATTTCTTCTATTTCCATTGACTTTTCGCTTCTCCTATGCCCCCGAATGCAAAAATTGACGCGGCCTCGCCTCGCGTTATAATAGTAATAACTTTTTTTTTTTTCTTTTTGAGGGCATCAAAACCTGCCCTTGCGTTATATTCGTACAAATACGGTATATATATATATCGTACACTATAACCCCGAGCTACCCAAGGCGACCCTCAAAAAACGCTCGACTGCTCACCCGGCATGGCCGCGCCCGGAACGCCATCAGGGCTGCCTCTCGTCGCCACCGGTTCGTGCACCGCAGGCACCGGAACGACGGGTGCCGGGGCTGGGAGGTTGCCACACGGCACCGCAATGCCGGCCAGTGGAATGTGGGTGCCACCCTCGGCCGAGACCTGGCCAGCCGAGTGGGCGGTGACGACCGGGGTCGCTGGCACCACTTGCACCGCAATGCTGCCAGTGCTCGCCAAGGGGACCTGGTGCAAGACGGCGCCCAGGGAATGCGACGCGCCGGCCGGGCAGGGCGGGTGTTCCGGAAAGGTCTGCACAAGAGGACGACACTGTAGATGAAGTGAGTAATCAAAAGGGGAACCGGTTCGTAACTTAATGGAGAATCAGGTAGGGCTAAGCGATAGAGTGTTTAATAAATAAGTGAACCAGTCAGGACACCGATAGGGCCAATCAAAAGATTGTCAAATGAACAAGCGAACAAGCCAAGTTAATATACACCGACATAGAGCCAATCCATAAACATAGCCTAATGGATACTGAAATAGAGCCAATCAATGGATTGTTTAATAAAGAAGTGAACCAGTCATTAACCTAATAAACAATGCTATAAGGCCAATCAATAGACTGTTCAATAAGTAAACCCCCAATAACCTAATGAGCACTGAAACAGGCCCAATTGATTGCTCAATGACTAAGTGAATCAGTCAATTACCTTTGGATACTAGGCAGTTTGCTCCATGCACTCAATGTGTCTGGAAAGAAGGACGCTTTGAACAAAGAGGCTTTACATACATTTATCCGATAGTCAGATTCTGCCTGTCTCTCGTAGGCTCGGCTTCGTTAAATGCCGAGCAACGGTTCGGACACGGTTGCAAATGACCACAAACTACATTAAAAAGAAACTAATGTACCACCTAAAGACAACTTCTCAAGAAGTTTTGTCGCACTTAGTTTATTGGTATACAAATCTTTTTACGACCAAGTGGCACTCAAGGTCACCCGGCAGAACTCTGGAGATGAAGGTTTTGAGCAATTCTCGTTAACGCGGCGTTGCACACTCACCAGGACGGGAAGCACCTGCGGCTGTGAGTGGGCGGGCGTGAGGGGCTGCGCGGACGACACTGCGTTCTGCGAGAAGATGGCCTGCAGCCCCTGCTCGATGTTGCTCTTCATTGTGTTCCCGTGCAGCTTCTGCAGCTCCAGCTTCAGGTCCTCCAGGTTCGTCGCCACCGCCGGCTTGCGGGGCTCCGGGGGCACCGACGACGGCCGGCTGCTCGACCCCGCCACCGAGGTTGTGGCCGTGGTCGTGGTCACGGCCACTGCCGTCACGAGGACGGCAGCTACCGTGACGGGTGCCAGGGGGGCGCTGGTCACAGGCTGTTTTGGGGACGGCGGCGTCGGCGTAGACGGCGTTTCGGGCAACGGCGGGACCGCAACGGCGTGTTCCACGGTTGCCGGCGGCTGTGCCGTAAAAAAAAAGACAACAAAGGTTCTCAGTTTGTACTCCCATTTCTCCGTAAAGGCTGGTTCGGATTTTGAAAATAATACCTAAACTGGGAGAACGCTTCACTCGGGGACAGGGATGACCAAACGAATACGGGAGCTCGGCGAACCGATCGAGGGTTCCTAGGAAACCGGTTTAAGAACTCGTGATACGAGGTTTCCCGGTATTGCGAGATCCAATCGACGCACCACCTACGAGTAACGGTCGCTCGTAACATTGCCAGAATTGTTTCGAGCCTATAGTGCAAGTATGATCAAAAACATACGTGGATGGGACTTGTTTCCAGGCTGCACGATAAATGGTGCGAGGGCAATGCGGACGATCACACTCAAAAGCAAATCTGTGTACCAGTCTTAGGTATGCACGAAGCCAACGCTGCAAGCAGGAGCGTGTCGTCTCGAACGACGGCTTCACTTCACGTGCATGTGCGTAGTGGGTCTGCTCAAAGCGTTGCACTCTCTAGATGTAGCTTTTCCTTTGCTCACACTTGAGATGAAACAGTTATATGTGGCTCCATGACACAACAGAATTCGCCATATCAAAATTTGCCATACCTTAAAAATAAAGCTTGAAGCTATCAAATTTTTTTTTTTTAATTGGAAAGTAGTTTTTAGATGGAACACAATATGGGGTCTTTAACTGAGGACGGTTGAATGTAAGGTGCTGGCTCGCAAAAAACAAATACTAACCGGAATACATAAAAGCACCGATCTATATATGCCTTCCTATAACATTAACTAGAACACTAACATGCATCTTTTACAGGCTTATAGGATAGCCTGTCGACAAAAGCTACCATGCATACATGAGCTAGCCCATACAACAACGACGAGCACCGTACGCATGCAAACACACATCTCGACGAGGCCAAGTCTCTGGTGTGGGTGACACCTAAAAAATGCAGTCAATGCACCGCCTCCGGCGCGAGCTCTCTGCATTTGACACCACTTTGGCACACGGGGTGCGCAGGCCCGACAGGGGGCAATGAGTACGTCCTGGAGGCGTAGTCATTTGTTGCCAACTTAGGGCAATGTCGGCTACTCGATCGCCAAAGAAATTCGGCTATTCGATCGCCAGAGAAATTTGGCTCACCAGCACGCAAGTGCCTGCGACCGCAGGCACAGCCGGCAGAGCCGCCACGGGAGTTGAAGCCGCAGACGAGTCGGCGGTAGCTGCGCCGGCGGCCAAAGTTGCGGCCGGGACGGTCACGGTGGCATGGGTGGGTCCTCCGCTCGTGGTGGTGAGCTCCACCAGTCTCTGCTGAAGGTGGCTCAAGTCCGTGACGATGCCATACGCCTGGGGAGGCATTGCCGAACTGCTGCGAAAAGAAGAGACGCAACCGCGGTAAAGGATCTCTCTCCTTGACTAACTGCTAAGCGTTTTCAATAGTAGTACCCTAGACTCTAGAAACTTCCAAACTTAGTCCTAAGGAACGCTCGTGCAAGCTAAAGAAGTGTAAGGCGTAGCTACACCACTCACTCCACAGCAGGTTATCTGAAACACTGAGCTGTACATTTTTTTTTAAGCCTTTTATTGATGGCTTGATGCTGCTTGATAGGTTCTTGTTCCCGTGCTGGTTCTTTCCTTGAAAGGTCGCATCACGGCGAATCCCCGTGCAGCTTCTCTATGTCCCCGTGAGAAACAGCATGCAACAAGTAGGATCTCAATGTTTTGTTATACGGGTAAAAAAAATGAAATTAAATACTCTAGATAACACGATTCTCACAAGAGCTTAATTTTCGAGACTTAAAAAAGTATAACAAATAATTGATAGTGCAAATATATCGCCCCACAGTGACGAACACATAACGTATTGCTCCAAATTGCAAAAGTTTGTGCCAGCGAAATATTCCCAAAACCAACACTTTGCATAATTTGCAAAATATTGATCCCTCAAAAGTGAAGTCATTTACAGTAAATTAAGTGAAGCTAGGTACGTCCAATCAACACGAATCATAGCCGACAAAAACAGCCACCGAAGTATGGTCTGAAACAAACCTCACGCTTTGCGCAGAGAAAAACATTGTTCGCTAACTGTAACGCAGACAAGCTTGACGGCACTTTTCGGTGGACAGCGCAACCTTACGGCAAACGAAGCTCAGCCTCACCCAGGTTCAGACTCCGAGAAGCTGTTCTCGCTGCTCAGGGCGTGCGGGGTTGTGCCATAAGTGGGTGGGGTCGGTGCCTGGCTGCCGCCCGACTCCAGAGGTGCCTGGAGCTGGCGCATGTCCACCTACCCGCGGAAGAAACCGCAATCGTCACAAGCGCATCCTTCAACAGAAGACGTTCCCACGAAGCCACTCTGCTTCACACGCAGGCAACATTGGGAAAACGGCAGGCATGAGCGCTTGCCCAAACGAAGTCTCTCCAGAAGCTGCACGCTTGTGCCTGTGGCGGTGCGCGACGGGTGAAACGGATTGCAAACTACCGGGTGTTTGGGAAAAAAACAGTGTTCTTGCCACAAAAATGAACCAGGCATTGCTGAACGCTCAGTCTCCACCCGAATATCAGAACTTCCTGTCATCCAACACAAAAGTTGCGAGCAATATATTTAATTAGAAAATGGCGGCCAAAAGAGTCAGAGAATACACGGAGATGAAAAGAGTGTGCTACTGAAAATGGGCTCCATTTTCTCGCAGAAACTTCCTGAAAATCGCTTTTAGAACTTTTTAATCGGATGACAGTAAGTTCTGAAACTTTGCATATACAAAACAGCACGGTGCGCGTGCCCCTTTCTTTAGCGACCGTCTTTTGTATGCACTGTTTGAAGGCGTAGTGGTTCGCACTGAAGCTTCTGAACCACAACCCAGAGTAGCTTGAGCAGCATTCTTTGTCTCGCACGTTGGCACCAACTGGCGATGGCAAGTTGTGTGCCTATCTTCAGAAGACAAAAAAAAAGCTTAAGAGATGAAAAAAATGAATGCGTCTTCACGTGGTGAATGATGTTGATTGGGGCGAAGCTCCGGTGGTGCTGGTGATACTGATTTTGTTCATAGGTAGTGCTGATGCAAAGTTTAACGCAATTATATACGCATTTGGGCCGCCCTCACCTGTATAGACGTTGATTAACTACATGCAATGTTTCATCCATGACATCCTCAGCTTTTGAGTTACTACCACATCTCAGAGCCCCCTACTCATCCCGCAGTTGTGGCCGAGTGGTTAAGGTGATGGACTAGAAATCCATTGGGGTCTCCCCGCACAGGTTCGAATCCTGTCGACTACGGAAACATTTTTTCTTTTTTTAAGAAGGCAGATGGGATGGCAATCAATGTGAGCACGGACGCCAGACGGACAAGACTAGACCCTAAGCAGCTTTGCCCCTAAAATTGTGCGACTTACTATACCAGCTGCACTTGCCGACTTCACCCCCAACAACAACCCCACCCAACACGTATGAAGTTGGAACATTCCCCAATGCTTGTCCCATGTCGCCGAACAACACTCGTAAACGCAACTCGAACGAATTGCTCCATCAGAGCTACACGACGCTACGACGCAAACGAGCCGACCAAACCAGCGGCGTTCCTCGAATCTCAAACCCCCACCATTGGCCGAGCAAGCGAGCAAAGGCAAAGCAAGCGGGACAGTGAGAGAGAAAGAAGAGACGCGCCGCAGTCCCACGTCCTACTCACGGTTGGAACGGGAGCAGGAGCGCTAGCAACGGCGACGACGGCGGGAAGAACGGACACGGCCAAGCCAGAAGTAGCCAAGCCTGCGGCCGAGCCGGCAGCGTGCGGCGGCTGCGCGCTAGCGGCGGAAGCGAGCGGCAGCCTCTCGTCGCCCGTAGCAGACGGAGAAGCCAGACGCGAGGAACTCGACGACGAGTCGGCGGCGGCTTCGGCAGTCACCTGATTGGCCGCTCCTGCGGCGGCCCCAGCCGCCTGCGAAGTTGCGGACTTGGATACGGGCGTCGGGGGCTGCACCACGGCTATGGGCACGGGAGAAGCCGTGGCCGTCGGCGTGGCCGGAACCGAGTGCGACGCGGAGACTGAGGCGGCCGCGGGTGCGGCGTGCGGTGCGGGCAAAGGGGGCAGCTGCTCGTCGATGGGGCTGGGCAGCTGTCGTGAGGTGGCGCTCTGTGCAAAAGCGGGGGAGGGTGAGGAAAGAGATGATGATGACGATGGTTAGGAGTTTAGTAGCAGGCAGCGACGAAGGCTATAGCGTTGTTGCAAGATAAAAGTCTATCGACGGGCTTCCTAGGACGTCCGGCGTCTTTCCGCGACACGTCCGCTACGTTATCGGCTTGCCTTATGGACAGGAGCGACGGAACTGGCGGAATTTCAGATGCACATTGGCTGCGGTGGGTGGAAGTCAATTCTATTGCAGTTTTTAAGGTAAACAAAGTTTGCGCAAAAGGAGCGTCGTTTGAAAAGTCTTTCTACGTTGCCTGGGGAGGCGCTGCCACCACGGGCAACGTAGAAAGGCGCTAGGAACACAATCCGCCCTTACCTGCTCGCGTGCAGGCAACAGAGACAAACCCTTTCGAACGACGCTTTACCACGGGGCTTGTCAACGGATAGATCTAAGAACGTAGGGCTATTGTGCGCCAAGCATGGTGAGGAGAGAGAGAGAAGGGACGGCACGACGATGCGCCGTGCTTGGAAAGGGACTTAGAGAGCGTTGACGTGACCTGCCCTGCGCTAAGCTCAGCCAGGTGTTATGCAGGAAATGGAAGAAAACACATTTATACTTTTGTTCCATCCCACGATGAACTACTGACAAAACTACGTGCCGCCGGGCCTAACCGATCTCGCCAGGTGTTTCACGCATGCCAGCACTGTAGCAGACTTCAGCTCCCAGAACGCATGGTGACAGCGACGGCGTAACCAAACTGGCTGGCGAGGTCGGTCTATTACGAATTAAGTTGGCACAATGAGAATGAGAATCCCTACTTTGAGTTCGCAGCGGACGGGTCGAAGGAGGGGGGAGCCATGGAATGAATGGTGCACCGGAACGTGAAAAGCACCTAGGAATAGCCAGGGATGAAGTTCGAAAGGAAAAAAGCAAAGGGGGGTGGGTCCTAAACAGACGCCGGTCGATTGCTTAGGCAGCATCCGAGCACACATCAAGCGGAATGTGATGAGACAAATAGCTGCAGCAGCCTTCCAGAAACAGCTTACCCAATGAGCAAAGTGAGAAAAAAAAAATGAGCTGACCAGAAGGCTAATCATTTTTAGTGCCCTATGTGCTACCCGCTGTCATGACTGTCATACTGACTCGCGTCATTACTGCAGTTTATACACCAGATCGACCGGTCTACTTTCAGGCATGCACAACTAATAATTGCGCACCACCGAATGATCCTAGCAAACGGTAGGACTCAGAATGCGCTTGTTCCCAAAAATGTAAGATGCACTGGATTTCACGCGCTCTTGGTCCTCGTACACCTCTCAGCCGTGCGGGGCTACAGTACTGTGCAAGCTACGCTGGCCTTGACAATGTGGCACAAAAAGATTTGATGCCAAGCGGAGCAAGTGCCGCAGAAAAAACTAGGCTTAAGTGACGACCCTCGGCGTTGTGCCTTTAGATTAAACAAACTGGAAAGCAAAGAACGCACGAGCAATATCGTGTGCATCGCTCTGCCAACCGAACGTCGCGAATCGGTTATGCTGGAAAAAACTGCAATTAAATACGGTATAAATGCAAATATGGGCCACAACCCCCTATCGATATGTAGTATTCTTTATTTCAGACAAAATGTCATACAGGCTAGGAAAAAGAATAAAAGATAGTAAAAAAAAAAGATTTTGGCACTTTTTTTATTTTATGTGCACCAATTGTTTCTGCATTTCCGCCATAATTGCGCCTCTGCGTCCGCTTTTTGTCGTGTTTTGAAGCGCAGATGAGAAAGACTACAGGAGTAAAGCTTCGGAAAGCCGTCCTTCTACTGGTTCTTATATGAACCACGGCCACCACCGGCCTGAGTGACAATAAGCGCCGTGAGATCGAACACTCTGACTTCCGAACGTTGCCGTCAAACTGCGCAATAATTTCATTTTAATAAGTTTGTTTATGCGTGCCCCACAACCTGAAAGCAATGAGCCAGTGCTTTTCCTTATGCTCTGGAGTGTGGCAGACATGCAACGGTTCGTGAATGAGGTGTTGACAAGGTCTGCACATTGTGCTGGACAAAGAGAGAGGTTCAAGGAGGCCTCGCCAGTCCGAGGTGAAATTTCAGAGAACAAACGCCTAGCATAAACCTCAGAAACATTTTTACTCGATGGCTCAAAAGAGCAGCCTGGCGACCGTCGATGCCGGCAAGACTCGAGTGCTGAGGATACCGCAGGTTACAACGATCGAGACCGATATAAAGGTGCTTCAGACCACTGCGTGCAATAGCGAGTACAGCAATCTCTCGCTATAACGAAGTCAACGGGACGGCCAAAAAATTCGATGTAAGCGGTAATTTGATAAGTTATAGAGCCAAAAAAACAGTGCCAGCAGCCTTGAAGGTAGGCGGGAACACTGCAGATCACTGACCGTATGTTCATCGAACAAACTTCGGTTCAGAACATCCTGCAGCAGCTTTACCGAGTAAAAAAATAAGGAGTTTGCTGATAATTTCATCTTGGCATAAGTTCTCCTCGAATTGCTCCAGGCATCGCAAGAACACTGTCACCACCGCTGCATTCCATTTCGTTTCGAAGCAGCCGTAGGATGTTTCGCATCTCCACAGGCGCCGGCGTTTTCCGAGGTGCCTCTCTGACGTTGCTTCGTGTTTACCCTGGCCGCACACAAGGTCTACGATCGCAGCATGCGTGGCAGGAGCAACAACGGGAATGTCCGCATTGACAAGCGCAAACGAATCAAAGTTATCCTAGGCAGCTTTGCCAACATGTTTTCAAACACTCCTGTAGAGATGGTTGCAGCTATCGAAATCGTGCGCCGGCTCGGCAAGCGTGCTTACAAGGAAAAATCCGACATGCGCGAAGCAGTTAGCAACCGTTCATCTTTGGGTCGCAGGTGCGCTTTCTTCTACATGAAAAACTTATTGAACCCGTCCAATATGCTTTGCTTGTTCCGCAAAATGGTGGAGTGTCGAACAGCCGATGCCGGAATATCGAATTCTTTGGCAATTTCGGACTTGGGCCGGCCACTTTTCTCAAACTCGAGCGACTTTCGGTAAACACTCCCAATCTCCCATGTGACGCACGTGTGCGTGTAGTACGCCACAGGCACACACGTCGGGGGCTCCTCAAGGGATGATCTCTTTCGGGCTCCATCCCTCCCCTGACCCGATTCCGATCGGAGTCGGGCGGCGTCGACCATAAACGCTGTAAATAGCGTCGGAATGTTGACACTGCTCCCTGCCTGCGCCTCCACATCGGCATCGAAAGCGGCACTCACCCAGCTTTGCGCTCTTCCCTGCGTCACCCATTTACTCTGTTTCCCAGTTTGCTGTTTGCCTCCATGGAGAAGAGAGAGGGAATGCAAAGGTCTCTTGAGGCAAGGGCCGCCGATGTACTTCGAATAATCTAATTGAAAATGCGTGCATTTTGGGTCGGGACAATGTTGAACTTCGAGTAAAGCGATAATTAAAAAATAAAGTGATTTCGTTAAAAAAAGGGGGTTACTGTATATTTAGCTTTTAATGCACGTTCGAAAGCATTTTGCTTCTATCCACGTATGGGCTGCACCTCAAATATTTAACCCCAAAATTAGAAAAAAAAGAAAGTGCAGCCCTTACGTGAGTTTTTACGATAGCTACGTAGTGTCACAACTCGGGCGAACCAAACTGCGAACCGCACCTGATGGAGCTGGGTCGGTAGCGGCTTCACTTGGCGCACGGGCGACCCATGCGAAGAACCGGGAGGTTCGCTCGACTCCTTCTCCAACCGCCCCGGCATGACCATCACGCTGCCTCCCTCCATGTTCTCAAAGCTCAGACGCTGCACAAACGGGAAGCAAAGACCACCGTTGAACAGGGAAGCAGGAGCAAAGTAACAGTTGGCGTGCAATGCTAGCCATCAAAGTCAAATTTGGGGGTTTTACGTGCCAAACCTACGACGGGCATCTGGCATGCCCCAGCGGAGGATTGAGGATTAATTTCGACCACCTGGGGATCTTTTGACGTGCAACCGAAAGCTCGGTTACACGGCGCCTTCTCCGCAATAAGCCTCCGCCAGATTGCGGGCACCTTGGTTGGGATTCGAACCCGCCACCTGGGGATTCGTAGGCCGGCGCTCTCGCCTCGGAGCCGCCGAGGCGGCAATGCTAGCCATGACAAAACCGATATAATATAAATGGAAGTGTGCAAAGTGTGTGTACCAAATGAATACAGTCAAATGCCTTTTCTATGCAATCTGCCGATGTAATGGAGCCAAACCGAGTCGTGGCTCATCTGCCACGGTTTCAATGCTTCAGCGCTACGACACATTCCCATTTATCACTAATACTATTTCTGTCCAATGAATGACATGCCTCCCAAAAGAAAGCAAATGACCACAACTACAAACTTGACAGGTACAAACTGATTTGACGTACATGACCGAGCTCGACTATGTCATAATCACTGACAAAACAAGATTGCCAGGGAAGGTTCAGTTGTCCCGCCTCCAGCGCAAGCTCCCTACCTTCCACAACGTTAAGGCGTCTTGTGTACCTTGAACGCGCGTGTGTGCACAGTCAAAGCACGGCAAAAGGCCAAAGGTGTGCTCGAGAGACAGATACCACCATTCTCATCTCTTCAGTAACTACCAAAGAGCCAGTCAGCAACTTGATGCCGTGAAAACGGAACTCACCCCGTCCGAGACTGCGAGGTGGTGGGAGACCGTGGGCAGCCGGTCGGGGTGCTCCTTCAGCTGCTGAACAATGTCCTGCACCTGCTCTACAAACACGTCCGCATGCTGCTCAGCCAGCAGGTTGGTAACCACCTGCACACCAAGAGGCAGCAAGCTCTGGTGTCATATCAATAATGATATTTTTCTTTCAAGTTGTTACAAAAAAGAGGTTACAAAGAGGTTCAAGCATAATCAATTGCAAGTATGACCATTGAATCGGCTATAAATTTGTCCACGGGCCCAACTACAATTTGTCTCATGGCTCAAATGCAGAATCAACCACGGAGTCGGCCACAGAGTCGGCCAAGCGCTAAGCGGCATAGCCAAGTATGTTATATCACTCACAAAGTCAACTAAATAATCAACAGAATGGTCAGCTATAGGCTCAGATGCAGTCAGCCATGATGTTGCCACATAGTAGCCAACCAAACAGCGCTTAGCCAGATGGTGAGTCACACAGCCAACCCCAACCCCGGTACCGTTATTGTGCCAACAGAGGACAACATCAAGAGTATGAATGGAAAGGGAGGGGGGCTCCACACGCACCAGGTTGTTGGCGATATCCCTGGGGAACATGTCGTGGATGTCGAACTTGAAGGTCACTGTCTTGCCCTTGGACGACTCCAGCTGGCACTCCACTACCGTGCCGGCCTCCACCGAGAGGACGAGAAGGCGGGGCCACCGGTCCGGCTGGCCCCGCCTCCGCCGGCTCACCTTCTTGCGTGCCTTCTCGCGCGCCGAGGCGCTCGAGTCCGTCAGGTCGCTGGCCTCGCTCGCAGAGTCCAGGGCCGAAGCACTGCGACGGAACGGAGAGAAAACGGAAGAAGATTGAAGCGACCGTGGCGGCATTTGGAAGCGATTGTCAAACGCCGTGGGTAGATTGCCTCTTTTGCCAAGATCTAGAACCTTGTGTGTGCACAGTGAATCTGATACACGCTCGAGAAAAACACGCGCAGGTATGGCAGCTAGTGATAATCCCCACATACCACACAATTACGGTAGAACCTCATCAACGATTTTCCGGCTGATACGTCCCCAAATGGCGGATCTGTTGAACTCCCATTGGGATATGTGCATCAATTCCCCTTTGTAGCATTTGCCTTCCCGGTTGTTACGTTTAAAAACTTAGCACAAGGGCTATACCACTGAGCGCAGGCAGTGCTAGGTTTATTCGAAGCTTCATTCTGAAGCCTCTCAAACAAAACAGTTTTTCAGATTCTGCAACTTTCTTCCGAATAAGGTAGAGAGAGTGCTTCAAATCAGAAGAGGTTGCATTCCAAGTGGAGCTATGAGCCCTTCAGATTGGTGTACATGCAAGTGCGACATTGTTGCGGTAACGAAGCAAACCACGACGATATAAAAGACTGCCATAAAATCCCGTAAGAGCGCCCTCCCCCTGGAGATTGTTCATCCCGTATTTCTGGCGAAATATCTAACGTGAAAATTCCGGGAGTTGCATCAACCGCGTCATCTGCGGTGCCGGTACGTGTGACATGCGAGTTCGTACCGAGCTCCCGCGTTCTTTGTCTGTGATCTGCGCATGCGATATCGGTTCTCGTTGTACGCAAGTTTAGCCGGTTTCCGCATGTTTACCGCACCGTAAAACACGAATCTGCCGCTTTCGCAGTCTGCTGTGTCCTTTGCCATCACATGGGAGTTCCTTTTGCCAAATATGTGCTGCCATCTAGACACGCAACAACACCCATTGAGCCCTTTGCCTTTGTCCCTACCGTGGGTTATCTTTTGCCCCCAAGTTGATACAAAGAAACCATATCCTCTTTGCTCAGCCGGAAGGAAGAGAGAGGGTACCAAATCCATTTACTCTCCTCTCGAAGCGATATTTCTGCAAAAGGTCCATACCCGCACATTTATTGCTTTGTGAAATGCAACTTCGCAGTGTTTACGATCTGCAGCATGGGTTCCCTTATCACGTGGCTTGTGGTGGGTGCCCCTCGTGCTTATCATCAATTTTTATAAAGTATTCCCGTCTCATCCACCAAAGATAGACCACCTCACGTTTTTCACCATTTATCTTTTCATTTTGGGTGGGCACCCTTACGGGAACTTTGCATTAATTAGTCTGCCTCTCCCAGACCCACTTAGCACTGAGCGTGCATATCTCGCAGAACTGCTACAAAAAAAAAAATGGTATTTAGAACTCTCCGCAATGCCCACCTCCCCGGCGGGCTACTCAAAACTATCCTCGACCCGTGGGGGCGGAGGTTTCTCGGAACGCACAAAAGGGGCCGGCGAGCAAGGGTCACCTGTCGCCCCGGAGGTCGTCATAGAGCTGCGAGGAGGTCCCCATGTGGTGCTGGGGCAGCGTCTGGGAGTAGTCGATGTCGTGCAAGGACACCTGGCCGGCAAGCTCCTCCTGCAGGGGTAGTCTCCGGTGAGAGGCTTTAGGCCCACGCTCTGAGCAACACGGGAGTGCCCACGGACACAAGTCGGTCTTAAAGGACACATGCAAAGGAAAAAAACATTTTTTTCAAAAGGCTTAGATGGAAAAAGGACGCCATAAAACGATTTTACAACGAAGAAAGAAAATTTTTAGAGCTATATTTACGGCGCAAAGCGAATTTGTAGTTGGCGCCCGCGGGCACCGCAGAAAAGTGGTCTGTATTTATCACGTGACTGGTCTTTATTTATCACGTGGTGCTTGCGCTCTTTCGGAAGCTTCGTATGGCCTCTAAAAGTAACTTATTCATCTTTCTTTGAAGTATAACAAAAAACCAAGACAAATAAGTAACTTTTAGAGCCCAAAGGAAACTCCTGAAAAAGCGCAAGCAGACGTGATAGACCTGTGCGCCGGTCAGACGACGGCGGCGGCGCCCCAAAGCAGACGAACTTGTGCGGCGGCGGCGACGGCGGCGTGGAGAAACGCGTTGAAGCGGCGTTCGCACAACGCTCAGCGTGCGGCGGCGCGCGGGCCTACCACGTGACCATCGGCGGCTCCCGCGAGCGCCAACTACAAATTCGTATAGCGCCGTAAATATAGCTCTAAAAATTTTGTTTCTTGGTTGTAAAATCGTTTTATGGCATCCTTTTTCCATCTAAGCTGTCTAAAAAAATTTTTTTTTTCCTTTGCATGTGTCCTTTAACGAATACCATAATTTCTGGTTCACAGTTCATGAACTATACACGTCCAAAACAAAATTTTGTGCAGTGTGCATTCTCTATGGGTGCAGATTATAGGCGACTCCAGCGAAGTCGACACTGCGTAGCGGCAACGCCGAGAAGCTCAAGAGAGGAGGTCATTTCGACTGTCGTCTGCTATCGCTGCTCGGTTCTCGTAGGCAGCATAGAAACATACATTGTTTCCAGTAAAGTTTTTCTCGCTTCTGCCGTGCCATTCCTACGCGCTGACTAGAAGGTTTTTACCGTCGAAAAATTGCTTTGCTTTCATACATGACACTCATTTTACGCTGCAAAGCAAAAAATTTATGGTGGTACGCGTGCTGAATGGTGAAAACTACGTCCATTCATCCGCCATTTTGCTTGACCAGCATACCCCTATTGTTCGCTGGAGTCGCAAATACCAGGATCCGCTTTTCCAAGACAATTCCCTACGACGAGACGTGACAAATCTTGTGAGCGACGGATCGATTCCTGAGCGATACAGGTTTTTGGTGCACTTATAAAACGGGCATTGTTTTGAGGTTGCTGCATACGATAGTCTTTTATGCAAAGAGTGGGCACCGGGTGCGGACAATCTGAGAAAAATCTTTTCTCCGTTAAAAATTTGCTTTCGTGAACTATAAGCCGACTGGAGATTATATGCCGGAAAATAGAGCATAAATAACCTTTGACGGCTTGCGCACGCCCGCCGTAGGAAGCCAACCTCCCGAGAATTTTCAGAATAAAGGGTCGTTTCATGGCAAAAAGTAAGTCACTCACTTGTTGACACCAGAAAATTATTGGCGCGACCCTTCAGTCGAACTAAAAACCCCCAGCAATCCTTTTGCAAAAGTTCATGCTACGTCAACAAGATTCGGTTGCAGAATGAATGCTCCCAACGAGCAGTTGGGATTAACAAACATGCTTGCAAAAAATTGCCAGTTTGTACACATTGCGACGACTCACTAGACTATGAACCGTAACTATACCAGGCACATCAATAATCTACCAAGCTCTAATCATATTTAGGAAAAAAAGATTGAAGTACCACTAGCGTCCCTACAGAAAAAGCAAAGAGTAAAGATTTTCCCGGGCAGGTCCAGATAAGGCATGAATGGAAGGGTGTCAAACGCGACGAAGAGAAAAGGCAGACGAAGAAAAGGAGATGGGCATCCACATTATGCATGAAAACGGTCGTAGGCAGTAGTAGAGGCATAGAGAAGGCTGTGCTTTCACCAGTGTTGACTGGTGCAAGTGCAAACAGTCGTACATTCTACTGTCCCCGGATCGTGTGGTTCTGTCAGTCTAGGTACACCGCAAAACTACCGCACTTTGCGCATGCACCAGAGACCCGGCAGGCACTGAAAGGGTGCCAGCAAACATGGAGACGGTGTCGGGTGCGACGACGGGTAGACGCAGAGTCGACGAGGGGTACAGACTCGACGCGGGACACTGAGGTTCGTGACAAAGAGGGGGGAACAGCGAGCTGTGCCAAGCAGGGAGTAGCAGGCCCCACCACCGTTTGTGCGCCGACACCGCAGTACCTTTGCGGCGGCACCCCCTGCCGGCGGGGAAATGATGCCGTTGGCCGCTGCAGCCGCCACGGAGCTCAGCTGGTGGCAGGAGGCCGGGCGGGCCAGGGGCGGGGCCGACGGGGGGGGCGGGTCCGGCACCGACAGCTTGCGACTTGCCGCCGCCATGGCCGCCGCTTCCCCGTTCGGCCGCGCCGAGAACGTGCTGCGCACCAGGCTGCCTCCACGCACGCTCGCGATCGTCGTCACCCCCCTCCGCCATGATGCGCTGGCCCGACGCTCGGAACAGCTGCTCCATCTCCCGCCCGAGCAGCGCCGCCTCCAGCCGGCCCACGTCGAACGAGGCCCCGCCCCCCCGGCCCCGCCTTCCCTCTTCCGGCTCCGTTCCCACGCTGCGGAGGTCGTTCGCCGACAGCGACCGCATCGTGGAGCACATCCGCGACGTGCGCCGCGCCGGGGGTGGGAGCAGCTCGAAGGCGCTGGGAGCAAACACGTCGCCACCCGCCACGCACGCAGGCACCGGAGTGAAAGAGCGTGGCACCGGCGGCGACAGCAAGATGGCCGGACTCTGCGGTCCGCGGGGCTGCACCAGCCAGGCAGGGGGCGGGTCCTCCAGGGGGAGGGGGCGAGGTTTCCGCCCAGGAGGAGGGGCCGACGGGGCGGTGCCCACCTGCTGGGTGGCGGTCGGGGGCGGGGCGACGGCGGCACCCGCGACGGGAGGCAAAGCCTCCGGATGGAGGGACGGGATGGGGGCGGGGCCGGCGTGGGAGGGCGCAGTTTGGGGGAGGGGTACGATTGGCTGTGGAGGCAGAGCGGGGGAGGGGGGAGAGTCTGTCACCCTCTGGCACTTGCCAGCCACGTGCTAGGCGTTGCCGCCACCGAAACCAACCACCAAGGATCTGTTGAACGGGCTGGCACCCATTCGATGTAACAGAAACCAAAATTCCCATAGGGCATATTGTTTCACGACGTTTGTATGTTTGTAATGAAGGAATCAAATGAGTGAACAGCTAGTTTGTCGGTTGCCCTCTAGTAAACTAAAAAAACATTTACGCCCACCAGTGAATAGCTCAATATAAAAGCTAGAGTTTGACTGTTTGCTTAAAAGTTGACTTAGTTTCTGGAGTCGGAAAAAAAAGAAGAAAACTTTGAAGAATGACGGTGTAGAAAAAATACATAGAGTTTTGGCAGGAACTAAAATGATCAGCGATTCTAGCCAAAACACAGTATCGAACCTCGGGACGCAACGGCTTTGTTCAAAGGTTGAGGATGCCTACGCAGGACCAAATCATTGGTGAAGGCGCAGTCAGAGGCCACACCTGAAGCTCGGGCACGGCACCAAAACAAGGTTTGTGCGCACCGCAGTGGGTGCCACCCATCCTCCCCCGGGGAACCAGAGTCGTGCAAGAAACCGAACTGTATCTCGCCGAAATCAAACTTGCCTGTTGCGGTGCTGGGCTGCCCCTTGTGGCCGCAGTGGGCACCACCCCCGCGCTGTTCTGATGCTGTTGACCCTGCCGTGACCAGTGGGGGAACAGAACAAACTGAGGGCCCTATCCCACCGTGCGAACGGACGACATAGACGACATTGTGTCGGCAGGACAATACTCTGTCTCGCCTTACGACGAACCGCAGAGAGCGGTGCGAGCCCCACGCGACCGTCGGCGCAGCGACGAATGGGGCGCGTAGTCACGCGACTTGTTCGCGGCGTCGGATTGCCTCGAATGGCTCGTAGCATCCGCTACGGTCCGCCCTAAGGTGAAACGGATTATAGGCCTAGAGCAACTAAAGCGGAGAAGACAAACTCCCAAACTTCGCAGCAAAAAATTATGGGCTAATTGACCTAGTTTTGCTCTCGTAATTGTCCGCAAAGATGCAATCAAGTATGGTAGACGCCTCTTTCTAATACTCTCCTATGTTTTTACGACAACCTTTTTAGGGCACACATCTTGGCGGGATCGATAGAGAGCTCTGGGGCGAATGCGGTGACGAAGCGAAGGAGTCGTCCAGCCTACCTGTGGTAAAAGGGGTCTAGCTTGGGAGCTGAAACCGGCGGCTGTGCCAGGCAGGCTGGCCACCTTGGCTGCCAGGTCGCCGGGTCCCTGGAAAGTGTTCTCCGGAGACCCCTCGACTGTGTAACAAAATAACAATTTTTAAAAAATGTTAGCGGCAAATCAGTTACATAGTTTTCCTTCGTAAATGGAGGCAAAATGCTTTTTCTCTTTGAAAATTGCTTCAATGTTTATTAGCCACAATTCTTTCCAACCACAAAAATAATTTTAACAAAAATTTTTTTTAAATCTTTTTAGATATATTTATTAAGAAGCAATAGTTTGCGCTGGGATATATACTGATCACTCAAAACATTACGACCACTTCTATACTACCTGAATGAGCGCTCCTAGCTGATGCAGCACCCGCGTTATATGCCACCTGCTGTTGTGGATTGTAGTGAACTGCTGCCTGGGATACAGAGGGATTATTTTGTGGACGATGTGTGCATGTATTGGGAGAGGTTGCCGATATAGGCGACTTTGACAAAGGGCAGACCGTGAGGGCCTAACGGCTCGTAACAAGTATCTCGGAAGCTACAAAGCGCATTGAACGTTCGCGAGCTGCAGTTATTAGTACATATCTAAAAGTGAAATGACGATGATGAAACTGTTAATAGACGCAAAAGTGTTGTATGTCCACCGCAGAATTTGGGCGTCGGAGGCTCTCCCGCTTGGTGAAGCAAAATAGGCGGCTACCTGTGGCTCCAATGAGTTAGATTCAGTGCAGGTCACGGTACGAATGTTTTCTGAGCACACAATTAATCGGTTTTCGTTTGATATGGGACACTGCAGCAGACAACCCTTGCAACTGTTTTGCGTGCCAAAAGTGAATCAACACGGTATTGGGTAGGTGGTCATAATGTTTCAGCTGATCAGTGTACATTAAGTATTTTATCAGAAGTATTCTTGGCAGCTTGTAGAAAATCAAGCAAAAAGCTTTCATCTCAAATCATAACACTTCTTTTAAGCATTATATGCTCTCCTAAATCTTCTCCAACAGATGCTTTGAATATGCGGTAGTTTGATGACAGCTGCTTTTTAGTTTTCTAGTATACATCTCCCTAAAGGTAGAAAAAAGCTTTCCCACCAAGAAATGTGCTAAATGTTGTCCACCAAGTACCAGGTATCGGCACCACTAATGCCCTCCAGCAGCATTACCAATTTAGAACCAATGCTGATGATGGACACAAGACATTATTTGAAAGTTTACAGACTCAAGAGTCAAAAACATTTTAAATTCAAAGAAACAGCCTTGGTCCATGCTAATGAATAGCTAGAAGGAATCTGTCGTACAGTTTGCTCCTTGCATTATGATACACTTCTCACTAAAATAATCAAGCCTTTATCATCTACAATGCATAACACCCAAGGAATCGCTCGAAGAAAATGTTGGAGCGCATTCAATTGGGAAACATAGAACCCATTAGGATCACATCTCCCATTTCCCCTTTAATCGGGCACAGTGGCCATATTTTACCGAAATGTTTGATGGACTTTAAACCAGTCTTGGGTAAGTTACTTTTAAAAAGTATTACGTTACAGTTACAGTTACTTTCAGAAAAAAGTAGCGAAGTTACCGTTACAGTTGCCGCAACAAAAAAGTAACTCGTTACAGTTAGTTACTTTTAAAAAGTTTACTTTTCAGTTACTTTTTTATAACACAAAAAAAAAAAAGATTAGGAAAAACTAGAGAATGCTTTTCACCAAGTTTATTTGCATAAAGTTAAAAAGTGTGCTTTTTACTTCATATTGTGACTCAGCAGCAGTTGCTTCTCGAAATTAGTCTCTGAAAGTTTCCCTTGTTTGGTAAAGAACACGTCCCTGCCCTTGCTGAACAGGCGCTCGTCTAACGCGCTGGATGGGATTGCTCTGTTGTTTTGCCGGAACAAGTTTTTGATTGCTGGGTAGGCGTTGAGGCAACTGAGTGCAGTTTTCTGCGGTCAAGTTGTTAGTGACCACCTCCACCGCAGCAAAATACTCTCTGTACGCCGGCCATGGTAGTTCATCTTTGTTCTTATGAACATTCATACCCTTGGTGGCACTAGCACATTGCTGGCTCGTTGACGGTTGCCCTGGGTTCATACCGTAAAATACCGGGCAAGCGCCCACTCAAAATTTTGAGATAATCACGAAAAAATGGGGGATGGGCGCTTGTCCAGTCATCAATTCTACATATCAATGTACTGTGCATATTTTCTCAGATCTTAGAAATTTGAATATGGGCGCTTAATGTGGTATGGGCGGATGCATGGTATTCTACGGTAGAGTCCCTGGACATATTTCAGTTCGTACCCGGCAAGCCAGAAACAAACCCCGCGCAAACAGCAGTAAATTTTGCCTCGACTGTAGACACTACACCGGAGTAGTGGTGCAAATCAAAATACGAAACATGTGCAGTGCGGAGTGGTGGCGCTAATGAAAATACGAAACATTTGTAGTGCCCTCCGCGTGTATTGTTTGATTCACCCAATTAAAAAGCGTTTGCGCGGAAAAAAGAAAAACCGCAAAAGAGATAGTTCTTCAAGATACTAAGATGCAAGTGTTCAGTCACAAAGTACAAGCGCATGCTAAAAATAACTAAATTTTTTTTTTTCACCAAATCTACACGTGGCTCTATTCGGGTCGTGACTGGCGAGAATGAACGTATTCACAAGTTTGTGCAAAAAATAACTTGACACTTGAAATGTAGGAACAGACAATTTGGAAAGCGCAAAGAATGGCTAAATTGTACTCGTTCAGTGATATATAAAAAAAAAAAAAAAACTGGAAAGTAACGTCAAAAGTAACATCGTTACCTCAGAAAAAGTAATAGAACTACAGTTACAAGTTAAATTTTTAAAAAAGTAACTCGTTCCAGTTACAAGTTACCAAAAAAGTAACGAAGTTACAGTAACGCGTTACTACCCAAGACTGCTTTAACCTGCCTACTTGCGGTAACAAACAAACCAAGGAATCCATGACAGTGCTTCCAGAAATTTGACTAAAAAAAAAAACCCTCCCAAAAATAAAAAGAATGCCCATTCCAAAATGGAAGATAGCATCCATCACTCTCCAACCAGCACCAGCCACAACCAGAGAGGTCCGCAACAGCTCTTCTAAGCCTCTCAACGCAAGGAAGGCAGTGCACAGCAATCTCGTAAAGTACCTCAAGTGCCCCAGAATTTACGACATCTGCCAGGCGAGGGAGACAAGGCAGCAGAGTTTTATATGACGTGCAGCAGTAAAGCAGACCCCATTACGCACCATGAACGTTATGCAAAGTCATAAAAAATGTGCAAGCGATCGCGACGAACAAAACGCAAAAAACGTACGTGGCCCTAAAAAAATCAATTTTGTCTCGCTGCCACAGGTGGCAAAATGGTGCAGTACCCCAGGTTCGTTTGTTGTGTTCATCGGTAACAAGTTCGGAAGCGAAAGAACCATGCTACTATTAAAGAAAGGTACCTGGCCCTTCCAAAATTAGTCACATTTTTCGCAAGAAAGCAGCCATTGCTGACATGTGCTAAACTGTGACCACTCGTAACGGTAGACATTTTATTTAGTTCTGTTAAAACAACTCGAAGTAATCGCCACCTATGAAATTCATTTTTACTCGCAGGGATGGCCTCTCACTAATTGAACATTTAACTCTGTGCTAACAGGCAATTGCGCCATGTGTACGTTCAGGTAGCTTGAAGTTAGTCGGCTACAATGGACGTCCGGCATCTCCGCTGTAGATGAGAAATTTTGCCGGTGCAGTGCAACTGCTATACTTCGTCTCAGCTTCGGTCCGAGTGCGGCCGATGTTATGAGCCTAAGGGCCAATCAAACAGCGCAAAAAGCACAGCGTCATGGCGTGCTCTCTGTGCCCGATAGGACTAGCCGGCGAAGGAGCACGCACAGAGACACGGCGAATATCGGCTCGTCTTATCAACTGCAGAGAGCACGCCATGACGTTGTGCCTGTTTCGCTGTTTGATTGGTCCTTCGGCTCATAACATCGGCCGCGCTCGATCCGAAACTGAAACAAAGTATAGCCTGGGGTTTTTAAGGTGAATCACAAAGTATTATGACACACGACCGCATGCCACATCTCACGCTACCCACATGCACGAGCAGCACTTTCATCCGCTGGTTCGTTCGCCGATCGAGCGATTGTACACACTTGCCAAGAAGTACCACGCCGATTGCGAGTCGAGGTACAAACTCCTACGATCTATGCAAAAACGGTGAGAGGGAAAGACTCACAACATTGCTCGCAGCGAAGCCTCGCCCGTTTCCTACCGAGAGGATTCAATGCCCAAACTCTCGCTGCCATCCGTGTCAACCATCCGCAAAAATCTAACGCAACGGTGCAACTGGCCGACCAACTTCAATTTCGAAGCGCGGCGGCACGCAGGTGAGATCGGACAACGGAGCGGCGCTTTTTAGCAAAGAAGGAGAGCGCGCTGCTGTTGAAGCCGCTATCGTCTCCTTATCTGCTCGCGTCGTACAATCTCGTGCCCCACCGAGCGCTGGTGACCCAAAGACAACATTGTCGTGCTCCTCGTGGGAAGGACGACGACCCCCACGGAATTGGAAAAGAACGCGAAGCGGCAATCGACCTGGCATATGCAAAAGTGAAGTGCCCACAAAAAAGAGTCCCAAGTGCCCCAAAATCACTGAAGGTGTACAAAGAAAAAGAACTATCCTAGGTCTATTCCGTACTCAGGTTGGACGAATGGCCCCCTTTTTATTGTCGGACTACGCAAATTCAAACAATAGCACAATGTTTAAGATGTCATCGCAAGACGTTCACATGATACATGGGTTCTCAAACTGGGCTCTTATAAATTTTTGTCAACTGTCCTTAACTTGAGGTATAGTGTTTTATCTGGTTTAAGCACCACTTGAGCAGATCTGAGCTATCCACTGACATGTAACTATATGCCAGATGCTCCTTAGTATGTCTGTTATTACTTACAAGGTCTGTAAGCTTGTGTACTGGTTTATTGACAACTCTTAAACAGGACAGATAAGTGTTAAACAAGACAGAAAGGTTTGAGAAACCCTGACCTAATACAAGTACAATGGTAGTTCAAAACATGCTCAATGTTTAATCTTCGTTGTGGTAGATATTGTCACGAATAACAATTGATGAGGAGACGAATGAACGAACAGAAACTAAACGTTTTATGTGGCAAACCTGTGCCGGAACAAAAAAGAAGAAAGAAAATGCACATCGTCGCAGGTGTCGATGGTGGAATACAGTAAAACCTCGTTATAACAAAATTGAAGGAGCGGTCGTAATTATTTTGCTATAACCATTAGTTTGTTATAGCCAATGTCCATTTTCTTCCCACTATTAGCAAGCAAGGGGAATTATGATTGCTTTGTTATATCCATTAGTTTGTTATATCCCATTTTGTTATAACGAGGTTTTACTGTAGTAGCAGAATCGAGCACAGGGGCAAGACTGACTCTCTGGTGTGGCAAGCATGTCTTAAGGCTTCCCTGGAAGCACAGAACATTCGACCTCGGTTGTTCTGGAACCATAGATTGTGAGTATGGACAAACAACATGATACTCAAACGTTCTGGAATATTCTTTTAACTTAAAGATAAAACAATGGGTGATGGCAGGGATTGAACCCCAGCCACCTGCGTCGGAGTCGGGCACACCGCCGACTTAGCTATGCAGGCAGCAATATGAATATCTTACCGGACCAAACTACGAGAACTATCATTTCTGCGAAAATAACTCTGAAATATAGCTCTTACTCAGTTGAACACTCTTGGAACGAAGGCTAAGATGCCTATGTTTTAAGCACAATCTTTAATTTGGTAACATTAGTATTGATAAATCTAAACACATCCTTGAACCTCATTACACTTCTCGTATAGCTATTGACAATAAAAAGATAAAAAAAATTTTCTGAGCTGACCGACCCGCTAAAACACACCTTTTTTCCGCAGACCACTCGTAAATGGAACGTGCTGCCCGATAGATTGGTAGACTTTCCCACTCTTGGCTCATTTCTTAAAGGGAAGATAGGGCACTTCTACATTTGAGAAAAAACGCTTGAATTACGTTCATTTGGCCTTTAGAATAACAGATATCAAAATTATATTGCAATGCGACGCGCCAAAGAGCCACACGAGCAATTTCAAAATAGGACTGAAGCCCCGCCTCCCTAGCCTTGGGCAGCCAAAAGATCCGTCGATGACGTCATGGACAGCGACTGTCTTTCGCGTTTTTCTCGCGTTTAACAATACTTACGCAGAAAATGGTTTGGGAATTCGGGTTCACGGGGTAAAAATACACTAGAATTCACTTCTAACTCATTTTTTCCAAGAAGCTCCGTAGCTTCCCTTTAATAAAATAATGATACTCTCGCAAACTGTTACTGTTTAGCTTGTTATTCCTTCTGTTCATTGCCACAATTTGTTCAAATGTGGTTTCTTACATTCCCAGATACTGCAGTGTTTGACTGGGAGGCTTGATATTAAATAAGAAAATAAATAAAACTTATAAAGCTTAGTCCAACCTACATTCCAAATGCAAAACGAAAATAAAGCGAACGAAAACGCGCACGTGCCAGAGCAACCACCCTTCCACAGCAGCCTCACAACCGCCCACACGGTCCCGACTGCGCCATCCAAGTGCTCACAAGAACTCAAACGCTACCACCGAGCACTCGAGACACAATAAGACCACTTCCGGGCATTCGAAAACAGCCACGATTACGCCAGAGCCTCACGAGTGCACAGTCAACAAGAAACACATTTGGCTAAAAAAAAACGAGATAGGGAGAAGAACCGGCCGCACGCTATACCTTTTTATTTGTAAGCTGCGAGTGCGGTGGAAGACACATGCTCGTTGCACCAATCATACTTCATCCCTTGCCACGCGGTCACACCCTTGCCCATACCCACGCACAGAGATCGGGGTCAAACGATGGAACGGAGGCAGCCGACTGGTCTGGCAAGCGCGTAGCCTCTGCCGCACTGTCAGCTCGAGGGTAAACTGAGCGTGCCGCACTCCAAGAAAATGGAGAGGCAAACAGAGCGGGGAGACAGACGTCGGCGTCACGTCGCTGCGATTCCACTCTCGAGGAACTGTGCGGCCAAGGAGCCGAGAAATATGACGACGGCGCAAGGAGGGCCTTATCGAAGATAAACGAGATCACGCCGCGGAAGAAAGGGGACGGCCGTGCTAGAGGGAGGTCGATAAGGAATTCTGCGGCAGGCGTCGAAACAAAGACCCCTGCGTTCCGGGCAAGGCAGATGGTAAACAGGAGGATGAAGGGAGACGCAGATTGGTCCTTCGTCGGTCGCAACGTTGCCGAGCGTCTCGCGTTGTCGAACAATTGTACTTTTGTTTGTTACGATGCGTGGTAAACATCGTTTTTGCTAGAACAACAACCCTGGCTTGCTATTGTCCTTCGATTGTCTGGCTTCGTCCCCCACCCTATTTCGCGAGGCTTTAGCAATGTGAGTTGTGGTCACGGGTCACGATCGAAGGAAAATAAAATGCCTGTCGACAATGCTAAGAAGGTTACTGGCAACTAAAGGTGATAAGTATCAAACGATCGTCTCTGCCCAAAAACAGGCATTCAGTGGTCAGTTCAGCTCTCCTATTGAAATTGGCTTTTGCTCTTGATATTCACGTATAGAGTTTTACATTCGACACTTACTACTTTAGAGGCACAATTCGCCAGCCTATGAACAAACCCTTCTGGTGTTCTCTCTGATGCGAAAGAAAACTGAATTCAGACAGTCAACACAAAGATTCATTTAAAAGCTAATCAGAGAACATTATGTACCTCTTTGTCATATTTCATTCATAAATTTGCAGTTCTCGAATTATTAAGCAAATATGGCGCAGACTAAATACGGTTAGAGAAGATACTCAGCTTAACTCCGTTCAGTGCTACTAAACTGAGTTAAGCCGAGTTACGATGAGCTTGTGCTGTGCACGAGCGGGCACTCTTGACATCACTCTCATTTGGCCGGCCATTTTTTGCGAAGTTAACACAATTTAAGCACCATTAAAAAAGATACTAATATTTTTTGAGTGTTAAAGTAGTGGGTTAAAAACAATACCACACAGGTTTCACTTGAAGCTGTAATTAGTAGCACTTTCAACATTAAGGGCTAAGCTATTCCAATCAATAATTGTTTAACAGAGAAGAATTTGAATGCATAATCTTTAGAATTATAAGGTTTTATCGTTTTGCTATAAAAATGTCTAGTACAACTAGGACGGAACTATGTAACAAAATTATCTTTATCTATTTCAAGCTTATTAATAATAAGGTGAAAAAAATTCAGGCAATTTATTTTTATGTATGATATTCAGGTTTGCATTCAATACAAAGATCTGCACTTCGCTAGTCTATGTCAAGTTCAGAAATGCAACATGATGTGTGTGGGTCACAAATGATGCTTCCATATTTTAACATTGGTCTGACCAGAGTTCTATATGATATAACTTTCTCTCAAAGAAGCCCACAACAAAATAATTAAAAATATAATATTTAAAATCAGGGTTTGAGACATAATGCAACAAGAGACAAGTACAAGTGTGGCTGACATGGTCGGGCGAAATAGCCCAGCACTAGGTGTTAGGACGTCCTGTGATAATGTCTCAATATTTTTGTTTCATTGAGCGCCCGCTTCGTGTCAAGAAATAATCCGGGAAGTGTGCAAACCATTTCCACTTTACCTGCCAGAGAACCAAGTGTTTAGAGCCAATAAGGTAACAAGTCCCATTTCATACCAAAACATACAGAAACTAAAACAAAACAACACGCTCACCCGACGAGTTGCAGTCTGTCATGCTTGAGGGAACACTGTACGACATGGCCGCAGGTTGTGGCTGTTCAGTCGGCTCCGACTGCGGCTGTCCGTCTGGCTGCCCCGCATGATGCTCCGGTACTGCCACATGCTGGGATGTCTCCATGGCCTGCTGCTGTTGCTGCTGAAGCATCTGCTGCTGCTGCTGCTGCTGCTGCTGCTGCTGCTGATGCATGGCCTGGGGCGAAGTCTGAGTCGCCATCTGCGTCGTCTGCTGACCCATCGGTTGCGGCGCGGGCTGCGGCATTGACTGCGGCATCGTCTGCTGCGGCATTGCCTGCGGCATCGCCTGCTGCATTGGTTGAGGCATGGACTGTGGCATCGACTGCTGTGGCACCTGCTGCGCCCCCGGCGCTTGCTGGAGCACCGGCTGCTGAAGCGGTGGCTGCTGAACCGCAGCCTGCTGAAGCGCTGTCTGCTGTAGCGCTTGCTGCTGGAGGTGCTGCCTGTCCCGTACGAGTGCGGCGATCTGGTTCCGGATGAGCATCGACACAATGCGTGCGTCCTCTTCCATGATGATCCCGGTGAGCGCCATCGCCTTGGCGATCTCGTCGGGGTTGTCGTTCTCCACGTGGAACTCGAACTGGATAGCCTCGTTCTCGCGGTGCTTGTCCTTGCGCTTCTTGGGGTCGAGGACGCGCAGCCGCAGCTCCACCTTCTCCCCTCCGGCTAGGCTCTCTTCCCGGTTCACAAACTCCACCTTGAGGCCCATGTCCTCTTGGAAGAAGTCGAGCTGAAGCAGCTCCTTTACTGTTGGCCTGCACAAACGTTTTGTTTTAGAAATCGGTTTGACAGTGTTACAAGCCTAGGTTGAACTAGTGTATGTTTTGTTAAAAGCTTTTGTTTTGAGCATTTCAATACATGAGAAAATATTCTATATCCTTTAGGCCAAGTTATTGCCATCCTCGCCACTCGGTAATGCTTCATACGCTGGAGAATAACCCAACAGGGGCCGAGTGTACAGACAGAAAGTTAACAAAACATTGCAGCAGCACAGTAGTGTAACTGGCCGAGAGTTTACGATGCAATGCTACGGAAAAAAAATGCATCGTAAAGCAATTTGAAGGTGAAGTTCTAAAAAAATACATAATTCACTAATTTCGGTATGTCAAAAATAATTTATTTCGAAGCAAATACCTTGTCTACAGGAATGAAACTTTTTGACAGCATTCTTCGGGAGTTATACAAGCTGATAAAACTACTTTTCACAAAGATGACTTTTTAAAAAAATCACAATTTTAAGGTCATGCCCCCCCCCCTTAATTAAAACAAATTAAAAAATTTTGGTTGTCCTGCTATGTCTTCATTACAGGGCACTTAATTCAAACACTGTTTTCGTGCAATTCATGATTTTTGTTGTCGTGGCCCTGTTGAGTGCGCTTCCTACCGAGCACCTGTGCACGGCAGAGAAGCAACAACTACAGAGCTCATTTCGGCCGGTGTCGCTCCTCCGCAGCGCGCAGGTGCTCGGTAAGAAGTGCACTGAACGGGGCTAATAGTCCACAATAGGCAACCCTTTTGCTGGGTGAACATTTTGTTTTGGGGTGCCATGTGCTGTCTAAACAGCCCACAATAGACAACATTTTTGAGGGATAAACAAACTTATCCAATACATTTCACCAATGTTTCACGTGTAGCATAGAGTCAAACCCGCATATGTCGAACAAGGACATATCGAATTATGGCTTCTATCGGACTGTTCCCGAACTCCCTTAAAAATACACACATTTTTTTACTTTATATATCAAACGCAATCGGACCCTCAGTAGATATAGCGAACTCCCCAGCGTGAAATCGCGTGCGCTGCCGAGCCATGCGGCAGGTTTTCCTGCAGTGCACCAACGAGTAGCAGCAGGCGCTTGCGACGCATGCCCAAGCACATGGCGCCTTGAGCACCTCAGAGAGCACTGCAGCGATCGTGGTTCATAGCTGTGCGGATGCAAGCACGCATTTGGACTTGATTCGGAGATTGCCGTTTTTCCTGTTACTGTTCCCGACAGCGACGGACGTTTCTGCGTCTACCGTGAGTAGGCCTAAGCCACGGCTGCGAATGTGAAAAAAAGGGCGACGCTGACATTTGCGATGGAGCTAGAAATAAATAAGCGCGCTGAGAAGGGCGAGAAGAAGTCAAGTGTGGCCAACACCTACAATATTCCTTGAAGTATGAGTATTTGCTCAAAAACAAGAGTGACATTGTGTTCGGGAGCCTGACTTTGGAGAAGTCGAGGAAGCGATGTACGAGTGGATGATGAATGTCAGCAACGGCAGCCGTGGCTGCCGTTGTTGCTGTGCTGCGCCGTTATTGCAGTGCAATAGAGGGGGATTTGCACTTGTGGATTGTCTTAAAACCGTGGAGCAGGCCGTGACAAAGCATGACATTAACTCTAAAAAGCAGGCAAAGTTGGCGCAGTGTTTTTCAGTGCAACAAATCGACATAGTGGTCCCAAGTATGTGTCCTAATCAATTAAGCGCGGAACGGTGAAAGTTACAGGTAAGCTCGTCACTCTGCCGACGCTTGAGTGTGTTTCTCGCCTCCTTTTATATATCGAATTTAGGCTATATTGAATTGTTTTACGATGCCCCACACTGTTCGATATAAGCGGTTTTGACTGTACCTGTACCTAGTAGACCTGTGTAGAGGAAATCATCCAATATCTGCTCCATATAACAATTCTATCTTGCACCACATTTAGATTAAAGTTTTATAAATAAAACCTGGGATCATTCAAAATTCGTGGCATTTTAGAGTTTGAAATAATCAGTCTACTCCAATAGATAGGTTTAGAATCGAGGGCCCCAAACTCTTTGCGTCCCCCAAGCTGCTCGTGGAACCCAAAGCGTTGGGGCACCCCCTTCTAATACTCTCCAATGTCTTGGCAAGTTAAAAAATGCTGCCTTCGGCAGCTTCCATGTTAACACCCACCTTTCTTCTTTCTTGAGTCTTATGCACTGTCCGATGATGTCTCGTAGTTCTATGCTTTCCACCTTGTCGAAGCACTGAGGCCGGACTCCCTGATTAGGGGGAAAAAAAAAAAAACTGCTCAGAAACAGACTTTTTAAAGTCCCGTCGTCGGTCGGTCGCGTCAATATCTCCGTTGGTCGAAAAAAAAAAAACGCCGTTCAACGTCCGCTCAAACCTTTGTCCAATCAGACACGAGGAGATCCTGTAAAGCATTTTAAGTGCATTCTGTAAACATAAATACAAAGTCTGATGGTTTCGAAGCACTTTTACAACCCGACACAATTCACCTTCGGGGAAACGGAGTGTACTTTTGTAATTGGAGAATAAAAATATTGGGTTGACAGCTTTTGTTGCTGATTTAGGTTCCACAAACGGCATTTCTGTACATTTCCGATTCCTTTGTGCATCATTCTCTTTTTGCTTGAAAAGCTTTTGACAGTGCTATAATAAGTGCCCAATTTTCTTAGATAGCTTGTACGCTTGACCCTGCAGACATTGCAAAACTTTCGGTCTAGAGCAGTGGTTCTCAAGCACGGATCTGTCGGGGACCTCCTTGGGGTCCCACCAAAGTGATGGGGGACAAATTTCAGTGTGAAAGGACCGTCCTTCATTGTTACAGACAGAACTGAGAAGCATCAAGTAAAAGGATGAATGGATGGATGGATGATAACAGCTGCAGACTTTATAACGGGCAGTAGCTTGCGCCATCTAGCCCGGGGTCGACAAAAAACAATTTTATTTTCAAGGAAAGAGGGAAGGGGGGAAGAGGGGGAGAGTTGAGGCAAGGGCTTTGCAGATGGTTTCGCTCTAGAGAAATGCAGTTCCAGGGTTGGCTCATAGGCGGCGCCGGCGTTTTCTCTCGTTGCAAGGGATCACGAGAACTCTGTTGTAAGCAAATGGAAGCGTGTGAATGGGCCTTAATGCTTTGCAGCTCGTTTCTTACAAGCTAGCAATCGCTCTACGTTTCTCAACAGCTCGGCATTGTTCTCCTCTGTGTACAATTAAATTTTTGGTGGAGATGGTGTACCGCCCCGCGCAGTTTCGTCAGTTTCAGGAAAAGGAAAAAGTCGGGAAGGAGAGGTACGGCCAAGACACTGTAAAAAGCTTTTGACATTTCGGAAAAGCTTTCTTTCTGCGTGAAGCACTACAATGTGCCAACTTACAAAACCAACTTCTAGTGCTGCGGAAATTCAGTCTTTAGCTGCAGCATTGCATATTTTTGTACGTAAGCAAAGTTCGACTGTAACCCCAAGAAACAGGTATGGGGCAACGTGACACAAGAGACTGCCAGTCACTTGGGTCGTTTTGCTCACTGCAGCGACTTCTGTACTCCTTTAAATCAAAATGTTTTCGGTGATTTGGCTGTGTTAAAGTTATGTTGCATTAACCCTATTGCTTTCAATAAAAGCAATAGACAAAAGCAAATAATAGCAACAAGCAAAAGCGAAACCAAAAGAAGATTTTATGTCTCGTGTCTATAGTCAAGTAGCAGCATGTTCTGCCTGCTATGCTAAGTTTAATTTGTACTTTGGTTAGGCCCCGACTTGAATTTGCTTCTGCCGCATGAACTATTTATTCGAAAGTGAATGTAAGCACATTAAACCGGCACAAAGGCGTTTGGTTCACATAGTCTATGATTGTCGTTATCACGGGAGACAACACTTCGAATACCATTCCCTTTTTAGGGTTTTGAATCTCTGCACCTTATCTGACTGTAAGAATTGCTGAGATGTAGTGTTTTTGCAGAAACCTGTCCAAGGGCATACAGATAGATGTACCTGATCTTTCAGGCAGCATAAAGTTACCTATCCCAGCTACATTCACGCAACATTGCAAAACGTTAGATCCCGACCAGCAATTTGAACGATCACCGTTATGTCAAATTCAGATCTTTTCCCAGTAGCCACGTTCAGCACGATTTCTTTTCCATGCCTTATTTCACCTCTGAATAGCGGATTGTGCCTCTAATACGATTTATTACGACTTGGGCTCCCCAAGCCATTTTACACGTTTCGCGTCATTGCACGCGGAATTTCTTTTACTTTTCTATTTTTATGTGGAAGTTGGCTTCTGCCGTGCACCAACGTCAAAACCTTGGTGGGGTTTTTGGGTACATAAGCGGGGATGTCGGAACAACGAGCTCCGGTTGGGACGATTAGTGGATAGATGCAAAGCTAGCCACCTTTGTCTCTACTTGCTCTTTGAACGCATTCAGACACTGAACACCAGCGTTCGCATTTGAATGCGTCTGAACAGCGTGCAGAAACGAAGGCAGCTAGCTTCGTGTCCACCCACTAATCGTTCCAACCAGAGCTCACCGTGCCGACATCCCCGACCGCTCTCGCCTCCTCTACCCCAGTTTCTACCCACATGTCCCAGACTCTGACGCGAAGACACTAGAGCTGGCCTTACAAATGCTGTGGAAGGGTAGATGTCAACGGCCGTACCAATAATGACGTGCGGTAGCTTGCGCCACCTAGCCTGAAAACCGAAACGCACCATATCTCCCTCTGCCCTACTAACCCAATTTCCTTTTCCTCTGCATTTCTGCAACTATCACCAAGCACTGTGGGATATTGCCAAGATGAACCTTTGGGGAACGGGGGATTCAAAATGTTTTTTTTTAAAAGCTATTAACTTTCTTTGGACCCTTGAGCCACTTTAAAGGGGCCCTGCAATCATATTTAAGCGTCTACATTTTTTGCGGTTTCCACGTCTCTTGGGGTTCGGGCAAGCCAGCGGGCACGGAGGAGTAACTAAATATCAGTACGTCATATTTTAACCGGACGACGCGGAAACCACCTCCACCGACGAGGGCGACCCGCGGTACCGAAAGTGCGCAAAATGCGACGTCTTTGGTCCTAAGCTTACTACTGGTCAGAGCCGCTAAAAGTTTTTTCTTAGTCGAAATACAAAATATAAGTGGCGCAAACTGTTTCAATTATTTATAAAAGAAGTTTTTGTTCAGTATTTTAGATCAGAAAAGAAACAAATACAGTTTATAAAGTATGGAAACAAGAAAAGACCCGTCAACATACCCGCCACCAAGCGGCGGAAAAAACGGCGCACACTAGAAAGAACTAGTGGGATGAGGCTACGACGAAGGGCCAGCGCAAAAAAGTCCCGGATGTACGCGGCGGCGCTGCGGTCGTATACCGGCTCGACGATCCGACCGGTTCCGAAGGCCTTCGGCGCGGGCCCTGCTGGCGATTTGGCCATATGGCGGCATGGCAGCGCGAAGTGACACCCGTCCTGAACTGATCTTAACCCCGTATTTGCTGTCGTTTGTGGCCAATGAAGTGTTATGCCGAAATAGTCTTTAATCGCGCAGCAAATGCAATGCGAGCCGCCCCGGCCGCCCGCTTCATAGAGCCTATCCAACACATGCTTTAGTGGCGCCCTCTCGAGCCGTCGACCCGGAGTGCGGCAACCGTGAACGCTCGATGAGCTCACTACCCCTCCTCTAGTTCACGGCCGCTCAAGCCAGGACCTAAGACGTCATGAAAGACATTATTTTTTGCTTGTTTTTGTAATTCTAATTCGCCTATAACTTTTAAAATAAAGCGAAATTTGAGAAAAGAAAAGTTTCATTAAGTTACTACGTTCAGTGCGCTCAGGTTCGGTGCAAATTAAAACCAGTCAAAAAGTCATTGCAGGGCCCCTTTAAGGTATGTTTCTGGTCGTTTATTTTGCCCCCCTGAAATTAGCGGGGAAAAGGACGTCACATGACTAGATGTCACGCGACTCATATAAAAATTCAGCTTCCTCGCTAGATTTGACGGGAAAATTGATGTCACCAAACCTCAAGACCAATTCAGTTTCCCCTCTAAATTTAGCAAGGAAAATGACGCCACGTGACTCGATGTCGCATGACGTAGCATATTTACTAGAGTAATAGCCGCACCATTTATGAACAAGGCCCTTGAGTCTACTTTCTCACAGAACACATATACAGCCAATCATTTCATTGCGCATAAATAACATAGCGAATAACCAGATCGAGGACAAGATTCTCCATACAGATGCAATCTTCACAGATGGTATCTTCGCACGAAGACGTTATCTCTGTCCTGTAAACAGCCGGGATCATGCTGCTGATTGTGACGATTGGCAATTTGCGTGCTCCGCGGAAAAGTGAACCTTCAGGTTTTCTTCATAAACAGTGCGGCTATCACTCGAGTAAATACGGTACATGCAAATTCAACTTTCCCGCTAAATTTAGCGGGAAAATTGACACATGATCGGCCGCAGCTCTTTTAACCATGTCTGCAACAAATCGCTCAATTAGACAGCAACATAGTTGGTTCTGCCCAAATCTTTTGCGGAGTTCAGCGTCCCTTCACTAAAGACGCAAAGAAAAAGAGATGACGTCCGGTCCCACTTACCGTGGTCACCTTCTTGTAAATTTGGGCCGGCCCGCTGCACTCCGAGTAGGGGTACTCGGACGTGGCCATCTCCAGCATGCACATGCCAAAGGCGTACACGTCCACAGACTCGTCATAGTGCTCCTCGTACATTTCGGGGGCCATGAACTCCGGTGTGCCTGCATGGGGAAGGCGACCGGAAGCTTGCTGCAACCGAACTCGCGGCACAATCCCAGACAAAGAAAACCGGGACACACAAACGCGCTTCATCACTCGCAACTGGCAAGAAAGTGTGCCGTGCAAAAGTTGGGACAACGGCTTCATGCAACTGGCAAAGTTGCTAAACTTCGTTGCATAACAAAGTTGCACGACAAGTTTGCAAAAGAAAGTTGCAAAACAAGGTTACTGGGCAAGTTCCGTACAACAACCGTTCAAGACTCAAGAGAGAGATTTCTCAGACAAATTCTTCCGTGGCTACCGGGCGGTAGAGGGCCGAGCAGAGACGTACAGGCTATTCTTAAAAAGTAGTCAAGTTACAATTACACTCTCACGAGCGGAAATAAAACTGTAGCGACAAGTGTACAAAGCTGCAATTACTGAACAAAAGTAAACTACCTTATACCCGAATCACTTTCATAATTTATCGTGACACAGATAGAACTTTTGAGAGGCGACTGAAACGGAACTTAGGTACAAGTTAAGGCCCGTTCGCACACCTGCAGCCCCCTGGGACCGAGTGTCTCGAAACATCTTAATATGTCTTGCAGCGAGAGGACACGCCGGCACACCTGCACCACATGTGCGGCGACCCTGGAACTGCATATCAGTAGAGCGAAGGTTTCGCGGTATTTGCGAGGTCTCAGTGTATGCACTACCCGTGAGAAATGGCCGTTTATAACCTTGACAAAAGCTTTTTGAGGCAAAAAAGAAAGAGTGATAAAAGATTTTAAGACGTTTTAAGGCACATGGTCCCAAGAAGTCGTAAATGTGTGAAAGGGCCTTCACTCCAAAGATGAAACTAAGTCACGGTTAACATTCACCGAAACCAACCTCAACTTATGTCCAATTCATTCAAAAATGTACTGATTTGTAGACCTTCGGTTTTTTCTCAACTACCGTACAGTTTTAAACTCGTCTAACAAACTAGGAGATCCCCGAACCCCGCAATATGCAAACAGTTTGCTACGGAGTGAAACTTTCTCGAGCTAAAAGGCCCTCGATTTGCAATCTACAAACGATTTACAGGGGGAGCAAGCCACAAAACGCAATGCCTCTCTTTTTATCTACAAAAGGCGCCCAACAACATCACTTAGTTAACGTGGCCGTATCTGCCGAACTCTGTAGGTCGCCCACTGGAGACGGGCGCCGTGCACAGATGGGACACGAGTGCCGTGTCTCGGCTGGCGCTGGTGCCCTTGCTGACTGAACGGCGATCGAATTTGGATGCTTTAAGCGCCGAACGAACGAAGCGCATCTGGCACGCCCTAGTGGAGGACCAAAGATTAATTTAGACCACGTGGGGATCTTTTGACATGTCGGATTGCAGACACTTCGACCAGGATTCTAAGCACCGATCGAACGTGACACGAGCCCCAGCCAAACACTAACGTGGCATCTGTGTCCAATCTGAGCTCAGCGCTGGCCTCTAGTGAGCGACGTCTATAATGCAGCACTATGGCCTTGCTATTTATACTTCGTTTCACCTATGTCCAAACGCAGCCGACACTACCAGCTGATGGGACCAATTGGACAGCGTCAAAAGCGCACCATCATGGTTTTAGTCGTGTTTTTGCGCGTGTTCTATCATTGCTGAACCAATCAAACAGAACCTGCACTCTTGATGCTGCTTGATTGATCCCATTAGCTCGTAGCGTCGTCCGCGTCTGGACTTAGACTGAAACGAAGTTTAGGCAGTGCTCGCCCAATCCCTGTTGCACCGCAAGCAGCTTGAGGAAGACCACCACTCACCGATGACACTCTTGGCAAAGGATCGGTTCTTGAGGGTCGCCAGCCCGAGGTCGCCGATCTTGACCGACCCCGTGGTGCCCGTGATGAAGATGTTGTCGCACTTGAGGTCCCTGTGGATGATGGGCGGTGGACGCGAGTGCAGGAAGTGCAGACCCTTCAGGATCTGCCGGCACCAGGACTTGAGGACCTGTGGGGGCCAAAGAACGGGGGTTAGCTCGCCAACGGGGTTCCGCGTTTCCGGTACGTGCCGGGGGCGGCTGAACTGCGGCTTTTAACGGGTTCGAGTGCGGCTTGCAGCACCGCGCCTCACCACTACAAAGGTCGATTTTGAAGTTGTACTAGGTAGGGAGGCTGCAAACCTCCTCAGGTTAGAGTTTGATGGGGTTCTACATTTTCCAACTTCTAGTACGAAGTTACAAGAATTCTGACCGCAGTTCCAACTTTTGTGTGGGTGTGTGAAAACCGAGAAATGAGCTAACGCCACCTGGCAGTGGGGAAAAAAGCAATATTTCTTCGGTATATTGACTGCTTTACATTAATAAACTAACTAAAGCGTTGAAGGCATGCTTGTGGATGATAGAAAACAGCCCAGGCAAGCGTGCGGCTCCTAAGACCTCAGGTCCCATCTAACGAAAGGAAGCTGGGCCAACATCGAGGCTATTGTGCGAACAGGTGGCACCTCAGCGGCTGTTCGATTTTTGTCGTTACTCCTCACCTGGTCGGCAAATGATTGCCGAGTCGCTGATAGTTGCAGTGCTCGGTAAAATAAAAATCGAGCTACACTTCATTTTGCCTTTTGTCGCGACCACCTCTACATTCGGCGGTGGAATCAGCATTAAATCAGCGGCAGCTGGTCAAAAGGGGAGTGACGACAAAAGCTGAACAGCTGTGGCGGCATCGATAACAGTTGAGTTTTCCCCCGATAGATGGCACGGCAGGCCTTCTAAGCCATGAGTTTGCCTGGGCTTTTTCATATCATCCGCAACTGTACGTATTCTCACTTTCACAATGTGTCAACAATGGAATCTTGTGAAATATACAATAAACTACTTCATAAATTATTTTTTTCTCCTCAATTCGAAATTTCTGCGTGGAACTTATGCAACACTTTCCGTAAGTAGAACTTTGTTGAATTTTGTTAGATGCTCGGAGGTTTGCCGAATTAGCCGAACCGTGGGCTTTGAACAGTTTTGCGACGTCACTGTTCATAATAAGCACCTTCATGTTGATCTTCTTAAAGCGCCGCAGGTATGTCTTGAGTGTGCCCGACGTCATGAGCTCCGTGATGAGCACCAGGAACTTGCGCCGGGCTGTGTTGACCTCCCAGTAGTCGAAGAAGCGCACAATGTTGGGGTGCTGCAAGCCCTTCAGCATCTCAGCCTCTTCCCGGAACCGCTGGCGCTCGCTCTTGTTCAGCCGCTCCTGAACACAAGAAGACAACAAGGTCACAACGGAGGTTTCCTGAACTTCTCAGTGGATGTCTCGTGAAAATCTCAAAACGAGAATGTCTTAAATGCTCGAAAATGCAAACAGATGCAAGATCTTTCTAGTTAATGCCGTGTATTGCTGTCCTCTATTGCACTCTGTGGCCCATTTCTAAGCAGAACTGTCAATTGTTGCAGAGCAGCACTGAAGGCTCAATGAAAATCACCATACTGTTCCTGGAGATTCAATGATTTATCTCTGGTTAGAGATCACATCAGTGGAGTGTGAGCAGTCACTCTATCACTCTTAAGAAATCAGTTCAAGGATCCAAACACTAGCAAGATGTTCAATGCTTTATGCTGCCACATCTTCATACCTTGAAAATAGCCATCACCTTTGCCGCATGCAAAAGCTTTTTCTTTTATCCCTCAACAAAATACAAATTCTGAACCGTCAGAAATATTCAGGCAGGTCCAATGTGGAGACATTCGGCAAAACCAAAACCAGCCTGCAGTCAGTTGCCAATTATGAACACATTCCCAAAGCAATAAGTTTCAGCTAATTCTTATTAAAAGGTATTTTGACAAGTGATGCGTTTGAGAGGCTGGATGTTTTCTTAAATACATGTATATTTCACGAACTTCAACTCGTGTCTTTCGAGGGACTTTTTAAAGAAAGAGCCGTCCTACTGCACTTCTGGCATTCTGTATTTAAAACGCCATATCAACAACAGCGACCAATTAGACCATCACTTCGTTTCGACCACACACCAAGACAAGGTATGGTGAGCATACAAGAATGTTGCATGTAACATGTTTTCAACAATCTATCAGAGTCATTGCTTTCTATAATATCTAAAAAGAAACTTAAAAAAGCACTGCAAAACTTAGAACAGTGAGTTGGCACTTTTTGTATCATTTTGTTATCACATATCAAATTTATTGCTGTTTATTTCCTTTTTTTTCCTTGTAAACATTTTCTCATTCTTCTGAAGCATGTTTTTGAGGGTAAATAGATATACCCGATTTCAAACTATACTGTGACTTTGCCACCTGCTGAGCTAGGTACAAAAGCCCCGAGGCTTATACTGGCTCGTTAGTTGGATTTTGGACATTGTTACTCATGAAAATAATGATATGTTCTATGTTCTATCCACAGCCGGCAATCACTGGCTTTGGTCACTTTCCCTTTCTTTTACCGGATCGCCAATCTTGGGAGGTCACGGGTTAAAAATAAATTGCACCTTGAATAAAACTTTCCGCTTCTGTCAGATGGAGAATTAGGAAGCCTACCTATACACATGCGACAGTGTCACCAGGCTCGAGTAACTTTCCTATGCCACCTGTGTGCGAACGACACCTCAGATATACCTTATTCCCACAAGTGTTTGAATGCAATGCTGGGCTTTGCCAAACCATACCAAACCAAAGTTAAAAGTGCAGCATTATGATATACATCATCTCTCTGTACATGTTTTATCAATGGCTTAACCATCCAGGAGCAGTGAATGCCCCTTGACTCGTGCTTTTAGTATGCAGGTCCATGCTTGTATGTTTCTTTCGGGCATCTTCCCGATCTGATGAGCTTACGCAAGCACAGACTCCACTTTGTTCTGGTTCCAACCGGCATGAGGACGAAAATGAAAATATGTCCACATCTTTGTTTACATCCTGCATCCATTCCGTTCCATTACATGTCAGAACCTCGCGCACCCCCTTTGAAACACAAATATGCGTTGGCACACTGCCAAACCTGGAAAGCCTTTAGGATGTAGTCACACAGCCGTATTGGTGGGAGGGTAGAAAAACACCTTGCTACGTGTTGCGTGTTGCGGAACACGTTTCTTCCCAGAACACTAGAGAAACATGACACGCCACTCACCAACAAGCTAGTCCGTTTTTAATGCACATATATTGCAAAAGTAGATCTGCTATACGATTTTGACCTACCACTACGAAGCAGCCATTACAGATTTCTGATTATCTCTCTGCTTATCTCTCCAAATTCCCCAAGTTCATTTAAAAGCCCATAGAATGAAGAAGCTGGATTTCTTAAAATATTTGTTCTGCTGAAAAAGAATGGAGATACCAGTATGCTGAACGAAATGCCACAAAGCACTAACAGCTGAGAGAACAGTAAAGATGAGAGCTTCCAGTGCCACGCTAAGTTCGTCCTTGGAAGGTATGGGAGGAAAGAGAGCTGTACTGGCATAAAAAATTAACTGAACTGGCAACTATGGAAGAAACTGCAATTGACGGAAGAACAACTCGACGTAAAAAGCTGCAATTAAGTTTTGATTTTTAACATTGAAGAATGAAACTGGAATTAAAGTGAGGCCTAATTAAAACAACCACATTATGCTTCTAGAAAGAATGACCACATTTTTGAACTGAGGATGTACTGTGCCAGGACAAACATGTATGCCACTTTTTTTTTCTTGTTAAAACTCTTGCAGAGTGAAACCGGTTGACACAAGTGCAAACATGCTGTCCCAACAAAGACATTTTTTTCAACTCTCTAACCCCCATACCATAACGCCCTCGGGTGCTGCAAAATAATATTGCAATAAAAAAAAAAGTCAATTAAAAAAAAAAAATGCAGAACTTGCCAGCCACTTGTACATGCTTTCACAGGACCCACTAATGTTAGAAGAACTCAAAGATAAGTAGGCATGCTTCTTTCATTAACAAGTCATTCTCCCAGTCTGGCTACAACTCAGACCCATTAAAAATCGCAGGGCAATGCAAGGTTCAATGAATGTTTCTTTACAAAATAGTGTGCATTACAGAACCTTTCAGGGAAACGCTACCATTAGCTGGTATCATGAAAGTGCATTCTCTCTCAGTTTCTATGTGAAACTTTGTACCTTGCTTTCCAACAATAAGATGCAACTTTATCTAGAGCTTAGAAACCCACAAAGCAATGACTCAAAGAAGAATGCATGACTCCTGCTACTAGTCACTCAATAAAACAGTTTCATAAGGGGCTGCAGCTTTAAAGCCAGCTGTATGTTTGCCCCAAAAATTAGGATGATGAGCATGCAAGTGTATGTCTGTATGTCTAAGTCGAGCAAAAACAAAATTGCCGCTACTAATTACATCAGTTATTCCTCAAACAATTCAAACCTTTTTCCTAACCTCATCTCTGCTCCTGAAGCTCACAGCTCCCCTCTGACACAGGGTTGTTTTCCATTGTCTCTTTGCCTAAAATTAAAACGTATGATGCAAAAAAACAAATAACACACCTTTTTGTTGAATTAATCACGTCTTGCATCATCATTAACACTACACTCAAAATGTTAAATTCAAGATTATGGCATGTTTTCCAATCCACTGTTCATTGTTTGCATTGCAGTAAGAAAAATGTGTCAGCGTTTTAGGAGCCACTTAAAAATAACAAGTTCCCATGACAATTCAAGGTCATAGCGCCAAGATGTAAGGTGCAAACATCTCGCACCACTCTTGAGGTATAGGCCATGTGGCTACGGTTTAAAGAACCGGTGCGGTCAAACAGGTTATCGACGTAAACACCAAACATAAATGAGTGCCCCCCTCCACAGGCAATTAGTGAATTGCGCAAAATCTTAGGCATCTCACCAAAAGATAAGCTGCCCACAACTTGACCCTAGGAGCGTTTTTGACACTTGGCCTCAGGCAAGTGACACCAGGACCGGAGCAAAGATCTAGGGTTTCACTTGATAAGATTAGAAGCCCAGATCATTGCTCGAAAGATAAGCTTTTGCCTGTGAGAACTAGGAAATGCTAGATGAACCTCCAAACCTTAAAAAAGTGGCAAAGCTCCAAGTATCAAGTTGCTGTCATTGTTAGGCCCATGCAACCAAAACCCCTTTCATGCTGTTGTGCTGTGCGCAATTAATGAATAATTTGTTGCAAAATCGTGTTAGCTCATGTATACATAACTAATAACCTTCAGCCTTCCCAAAGGAGCTCTTGCATTCTTTTCTGCAACAGCAAAGTTTTAAAGACTAAACTTAAACTGCCAAAAGAGGAAAAAAAAAAAAAAAAGAACTGCAAAGTTTCAGCAGGACAGTCTTTGCTGTCCTGCTTAAACATTTTCCAGCAACAATGTAGCTTTCTCCCTTCTTGTGCATTTTGGAACAGGGCAGATAAGTCAGCAAAGAACAAAAAGCAAGGGCCTTGTCTAGCATGCTTGGATAATATAACATGCACATTCCATGCTCAGACAATAGATTGGCAGTACAGATGCATATTAGACTTCAAAACCAAACTCTAAATTGTCACAGTCAAAGAATATGCTGACTATACTCGTTTTCACCTCAAGAACCGACGAAGACCAGCTCCTCGCAGAGCATTTCTAATTTCCTCCTTTATGTAGAGAATTAAGATATATGTAGATGCATTTTAGATTACTAAATATATGTTATCTTATCAAGACGTACACACTTCAAATGCCAAAAGCATCATCGCTTCTTTCTCCGACAGCCAAACCTTGCAAGAACTACTTCACACAGTGAAACTTTTTTCTGGAGGTGAAAACAAGTACTATAGATATTTCTGCTTTACCGCATTAAATTGACACACACTCGTGCGAACGGCAGTTCGGGAAATGCCTTTGGGCTTTATGCGTTCTTCCAAATCCAAGGGATAAAAACTTTGGCCTCAATATTCTTCTCTGTTACAATGGGAATAAGGTGGGATTTGTAGCACTGCAGCTTTACGAAGGCACGGTGGGTCCGACTCCAGCTGAAACACCAGTTTGCCCGTAGTGCCGCATATAAAAATAACCGTTTCACCGAAAGCCAAAATATGCAACCAAAAGAGTGACAGCAGAACGATAGGGGTTTCAACCGTACACACCGTGCTTTAAGAAGAAACAACAACAGTGGTTCTCGGAGGGTCGAAAGTTTAGCCCCGACTAAACGAGAGAGCCGAAACGAAAACATCAACTCAAGTGCTTCTCCGTAACTCCAAAAATCAACATATACTGTAAGTGTGTACGGGAAGCAGTGCAAACAT